TATCCGACAACGGGAAGCTTTTATAACAGATGACGTCCTGATGTTAGCTTTGCTGCTGCTGTTAGCTGTCCCTGTCAGCTGCAGCCACTGATGCTTTCTAGACATCGTGATTTCCCAAAACTGAATAAAGACCACACATAGCAACACAAAACTGCTTTGCTAGCTCAGTCATGTTGTAACTAAGACATCCGCTGGAAAAAAAAAATTTCACAGACCGTTTGAGTTACTGAGTTACTACAGACACCGCTAACGGGGCTAACAGCTAAAGGTTAGCCCAGCTAATCTACGATAACCATGTTATTAATTACAAAATGTGCACACAGAAATAGTAATGTTTGTTCAATCATTGTGTTTATAGACTTTACAAACATCAGAGTAGTCTAAACGGTGATAAACTCTGCTGGTTTTCTACCCGGAAGTATTTGTAAACGACAAGGCGATTCCCTCTATTTATACTGCTACAGCCTCAGGGGGCGTGTTTGTAGCAGGGATAGCTCCGTTATGTAACGCGGCTATGATTTAAGGCCCACCCACTAAATCCAGAACACAGAAACCTAGAAACACAGTTTGTGAAGCCTAGCGCCACAATTCAATTGTAAATGGTTGAAAGGCTTTTTTACACATTTTGAGGAATACTTTTATGACCTATTTAAAGTGTTTAGAAGAAAATAGCAGAGTTTGCTTTACACAGACTTTAAAAAGAACAAGGCGCCCTTCTACAACGGGAGGGGCTGTTGACGCCTTGTGGGAGAAGCTGTTGATGACGCCGCATGTGCGAGCCAATGGTGGTGGACTAACAGGAAAAAGCTGATAGCAGGAATGAGCAGCTAGTACTAGTAGCAAGAGGGAAATGCAAACCTGACAGACACTGTAAAGATGAGCAACTGGGGAGACAAGGAATTGCATGCCCTCCTTGTCCTCGCAAACGAAGAGGCCATTAATCATCAAATGACGGGAACGGTGAAGGACGGGCCAACTTATGAGAGAATCCAAGGCTATTCAAGAGAAGGCTGAGACACGGGGTCAAACATGGGGGGATTGCACATACGCAGTGTAACTTGAGCTGCGATGCTGGAGGGTGACAGCAGGGGCGCTAGATAAAAAGCGCAGGATCCGCTCAGGCGATCAAGGAGTGTGCTTGGTGCAGTCTGCTTGGACTTTTGGACAACGGCTGCCTGAAGTTGTCAGAATTGCATCTCTGTCATTCTCACCCACAACGCAGGCCACCAGTGACAGTCCAGTAATAAGCTGTGAAAATGACATGCATGCACATCCCCCTTATTCCGAGGTCTCACGCCATCTACTGAGCCTTTGAGGAAGTGCAGACCAGATTTTACTGCGCATGTGCAATCCCCCCCATGTTTGACCCCGTGTCTCAGCCTTCTCTTGAAAAGCCTTGAGAGAATCGCGGAAGGACTGACCAGTTGCAGCTTCCCTCCGAGTACGTCACTGTTTACGTCACACGCTGAGCTACACGTTTTGTTACTTGTCACAATTCCTATTTAAAAAGGGCTTATGTGACACCTGATTGTCATGTGCCGGAGTGTTTCTTGGAAGTAGCTTCCTGAATTTTCCGCTGATCGCCTGGCAAAACTGCAACTTCACTTTGTTTTTTCCTACAGATTAAATATCACATGTTGTTATTGAGCTTTAAAGGCACTGGAAGGGTGTTTTTGTCATCTTCAGACAGAGCCAGGCCAGCTGTTCCCCCTGATTCCAGTCTGTGTGTTAAGTTAAGCTAATCGCAACGTGGGTAGCTTATTACCAGTACAGACCTGAGAGTGATATCTCTTTTCATCTACTCAGCAAGAAAGCAAAGAAGTGTATTTTCCCCAAACTATTGCTTCCCTTGTACAACAAGTCCTCCAACAACAAACTACATTGTTTGTCCGTGTCCTCTGGAACGACACATTCTGCCAGTGTTGGAAAAATAATATGTTCTGGGTTTGGGTTTGGTTAGTGTTAGGCAAAGAATATGTTTGGGTTGAAATTACTACTTTGTTATGGTCAGGGGACCTTTGTTAGCATGGTTGCAATTACACACTCATGGTTAAGGTCAAGGAGCGGTCGTGGTCACAGTTTTCAAAACAGCACTCACTCGTGGTCCTCCTTTGCTCCTGTCATAAGTACAGCAGCTGCGAGAGAGCTCTGTCTTTTTAGCAGAAACACATGTTGTTTTTCGGAAAATGAAAGAACTGATGCTGTTCTTTGTGAGAGGAAAGTCTCAACAAGGACTGTGTCTTCATATTAATGGAATATTCCACTGAAAAATTATCTTTCTGCCTGAAAGGTGGCTGTTTAAAGTCTGTGACTTGCTTGTGAGTTGCATTTGAGTCCAATGATGAAGGCAAAATACGACAAGTCCTCCAACCCCAATGTATCCCCAGACTATAGTTCATATGATATCAGACAAATTAATGCCCCATGAATGACGTCATCACATTAAGTTAAAGTTATGTACGTTAGGTTAAGGAGAAAAAACACTGTGACAATGTAAATAATGTAAATAACTCCAAGTTTCGCCCCCCCCCCCATTGCCCTGAAAAGGGTGCATTCTGTATGAACAAAAGTCGGCAGGTGGCATTTCGCTGCACTCCCTGATTTTGTTTTTATACTGCCAATGCTGAAAGAAGACCGATTGGGCTTTCCTGCAAATTTGCACAATTCCTATTTAATAAGGCCTTAGTCTACATGTAACAGATATACTGTAGCTCAGTTTGGAGTAGAGCAGACATACAGCTGTCTTTTTGAGGTGATAGCCAACTTACTAATGGTGCAAACTATAAATTGACATTAACTAGCATAAACTATCATGTTCCAAAGAGACACACTACAGACAATAACAAAAAATGACATTTGCCTTATGAAACAGAAAACAGCAAACTGCACACTACTCAGTCCAGCCTGATGGGAAATGTGGGCGTCGCTACAGTATGTTAATCATGGTCTCCTCATACTCAGTCAAGCTATTCTTGGCAGATGCACTCGACCCTACAGAACACATTATTCTTGACATTGCAGCAGCTGATGTAAGAGGGAGGACATGAAGCAAAAGAACAAAGAATCCAAGATGAAGTTTGACTAGTTTTCTTTTTTTAAACAGCTATCAATGATGAAAATGATGGTTTGTTGTTATGCCAACAAATGCTGAGAGCAGAGGGCAGACAGGTAGATGTAACCAGCCTTAAAACACAGTGAATGACAACATAATGCACAACAGACTGGTCTTACTGTCACGACCAAATTGCTCAGCCACGCCTGCAGTAGATGTATGAAAGTGGAGATTCAGAGTGCCACTGTTTGCTTTTCACTCAGACTGAAAATTTTGAACTCCACACCTCCTTATGTCAAGAGTACATTCTTTCTGTGTCCTCGCTGTAAAGCCTTTCCGCCCACTTAGATAAAAATGAATGAGCATTTGACCACATTTCTCGCTTAGCTATGAATCACTGCCTTGGAACTGGGGTGACTCAAACCTCAAACATCAGGCTAAATAATCATTTCTGTGGATCAGGGGTGAAGTTTGTCCTCTTTAAACTGCCACTGTCTCATTTATCTTCAGGACAAAACACATCAGAACATGACAAGTGACACCTAACAGTGAAATAGGTGTCAGCTGTCAATCCAGCATCAGAAGCAGTTGCAGTGTTAAACATGTGACACATTTCACAGTTTTCCATTGGAATGGATTTGCGAGAATGTTTCTATTACATAACACAGACACAGGAATGCACAAGCTATGTAATGTAATATGAGAATATACAGCAAGGCTTGGCTTTCTGCTCTTCTTACGGACTGACTGCAGAACACAAACATGCATTTTAACAGATGTTAAAGCTCACTAAAAGTCCATCAGTGCTAGTTCACGGATAGTTAGTGTCCCAGGTTTCTGGTGTTAAACTCACCTCACGTTGCTGCTGAAGAGCTGATATGTGAATGCGTCAGTCTGAGGCTGGGATGGGGAGGAAAAATCACACATCCAGCTGACGTCAGGATGGGGGAAGTATCCCACAGAGGAAGCTGTAACTCATAAAGTGCAGACTGAATTCGATCCTCAAGTACTGCAGACACACATAGGCTGTTTGTTCTGAGCAGATTTGAACCAAAGAGACCCCTACCAATTTTTAAAAGGCATTTCATTTGTCATACAATAACTTGCACATGTTTAGTTTGGTCAGCTGTTGGTTTTATACCTCTTACGCAAAAGGAAATGCCACAGACTTTTGCTTCTGTTTTCTCCGGTTGTGTAGCACCAATCAAAGTATTTGCGTCTCTCTACTGCACAGACGGACCCATTCTATGACAAGACCATCGTCCCTGCAGTAAAATACTTGTTTAACACTTTTAAACATTTGTAGGAGTCTTAACTGTTGCTGTTTTATCAACTTTTAAAACTTTTAAAGACACTATAGACACCCTGTAATAACATTCCCATCAGTTCAGAGATAAAAGTTTTTGTCAGAGGGTCCTCTTTCTATTCATACAGGTGTGTTCATACTTACATCCAAAACCATACTGGCATTTTGAAATTTGCATTTTTAAGACACTTTGTTGTGTGTGTAAAAGTCTAATTTACAACTGCAGATAATGTCTTTCTAATGATTTATCTACCAAGTTAAAATATTAGTCTGTCAATTTACTATTAGAAAGAATGAATATATTTCAAAACAGGAAATAAGGAGGTATTTACAGTAGAAGAAAATCCGGTATTTTCCCAGTAACGTGACATAACCACAAGCCAATTTTGCTGCGTTCAGGTGCTGTGGGAAATCTTACAATTCGAACATAAAGTAGCCGAATCAACAATTCAGAATTAAATAGCTTTACTCTCTTAGGCTGTATGTCACAAATACAGAGATATAAAATCATTGTGGTGTCAAATCATCGTTATGCCACTGTATTTCTCAAATTAATCAACAACAACAAAATTGGCATCCGACGCATTTGGGATGGTAAATTTACGAGGTCTGTGAATGCAGCATAAGGGAAGGTCGCACCCGCTTGTGGATCGCCAACAGGGCTCGCTCGGCGAGTGAAACCCTGCATATTTCGGGAGACGAGTCGTTGCCCAGCCTGTTTGCGCAGCTCCTCAATGAAATGTCAGACTAGTTAGTGTCTCCTTTTGTTACGGACTTTAACAGAAAGAAAGCAAGGAGCCCTGGGTCGCCAATTCAGAATGGATTTGTCGACATTTCATCCCGTTTTCCTGATTCTCGCCTTGTTAAAAGCTGGGGAGGCCCACGGTGAGTACAAGCTTACATAGGTGCACTAGCTAGCTGGCTTAAATCTGTGGTAAAAATCGTAATGTTAGCCTGGTTCGACACCTACGTGGCGCCGAATTAATTAGAATATATTAAATGTCGTAAGAAATGGCGTATTAAATTGAATGTCGGGTTGTATGCGATATGCTGTGACTGTTTTCTAGAAAGAGGTGAAATGGGGACGGACGTCACTGGAAAACATGTTATATTCCCGCTAGCTGACCTGCTGTGGGAGGGTGGGGATTTTTCCTGTTTCTTATCAACACACGGGTTGATTATTCTGTGTGAGCAGGTAATTTTGAGGTTAAAATGATATGTTTTACTGTATCATTGGCAACACTTTCCCATGGTTTATGTGAATACGCCACAGCTAGACAGAAAGGTATTGTGCAGCTGCTCCTGGTTAGCATTGCACACATCTATTGTACATCATGAAAACAACTATGAAAGGGTTAATTTGATAAGAGCTGTAGGGATGAGATCACATCTTAGCTGGGATATCTCTTAAAATACTATCTAACCTGTGAATATATGACCCCAGAACCCCCGATGTCTTCAACATGCCCCCAAATCATACACAACCTGTCAAACATCTTAATGATGTGTATGCATCAGTGACTCTTGCAGGCTCACATATGACTAACTGTGTGAACAAACGCACTTGAGAGGGTATCTGGGGTAATTTGCCTTCTGTTTTCGGGGTTTATTTCCTCTTTGTAGTTTTCAGTATTACCCAAGCCACTTTGTTTGTGTAATACATTTCTGCAAAGTTGTATTTCTGCAAAGCTGTATGTATTTCTGCATTTTTTTTCTTCTCCAAACAAGACGTAAGTAAACTCACTGTGTTGCAACACATGCAGGAAACCCTGCAAAAGCCAAACATTCATGCAGTTATACTTGGGGAAATGGACACCTGCACACATTCATTTCTTATCAGAAATTGCTCAGCATGGGGAGCAGCTGTTTAGTCTTTGGTATTTTGCTTCATTTGACACAAAAGATACACCAAAAACCTTAAACAGGGGCGGCAGGGTGAGCAGCAAATGTCCAGGGTGATAAAAGTTGAAAACAGGATTTGAAACTTGGACTGTTGACGTGACACATAACGCGGCGTTTCACCTTGTGTCAGCTGTATCCCCTCTGATATAATGCTGTCCACAGATCAGGTTACTAATGTGTGTAATTGTGGTCGTTGCTGATGGAGATGATGGTGGAAAAACTGAAACTCCAGTAATCATTTTTGGAACATAACCAGTCATCAACTTAAGAGGCATCAAGTGAACATGCATCAATCCTCTGCAGTCTGTGGGAATTACTGCAGCACACTTGATGTGAAAATGCATTTTGGCTGATGCTGTTAGCAGCAAGCAACTCTTAATACAATTTTTAATGCACCCAGTACATTAGCATGCGGACCACACGGTCAGACTGTGGTCCGCAGTGCAGTGTGAGCACATACATCCCCACCTTGAAGCACCACTTGTCATCTTCATAAGCATCTTTAATCATTCAAGTCAACTTTAAAGCAAATTTAACCAAACACCGGCTTATTCCAGCTTCTCAATTGTGAGTTGTTGTGGCTTTTCTTTGTCTTAAAAAAAGAAATAATCATTAGTTACAGCCCAAATAAGACTTTATGACAAAGATGATTATGAATCTGTTTAATAACTATCATGTATGTTTTCTTTATATCGAATTGCCTAAATCTCTTTTTGTCCCAGGGGAGCCTGGGTACATACAGCACCACAAACGTCCTAGACACTGTTAATATGCAACATGTTAGACAAAGATTTAATGGGCATACATGAGGTGAGGTAACCAGTGCACTTTGACCCGTTCACCATCGCTGCGGTCAGAGCTCCCCCACACATGAAGTGAAATTTGCGAGGGAAATTGAAGTCTTTTCTCAAGCAGCCACTCAGGAAGCATTTGTAAGCATTTTGCCTGCTTTGAGCTGCTGTTTGTCTCATGTCATGTTGACGACGCATTTGTGATAAATCTGGGCGCTTATTTATTAAGCATTTCAGAGTCACTGAGAGGAATCACGCTGAAAGTTAACATTAAATTTAGAAACACTCCTTAGCCTCCTGCACTTGTTGGATTTATTATTATTATACCGGATGTATTAAACAGTGGTAACATTTTAAAAGCAGAAAATAGAAATTGATATTCGCAGATGTGCCATTTAGACTTTAAAATCTAACTGTTGTAACTGAGATTGTAGGACAGGTTAGGACACCCCTGTAGCTCTCTTAAAGTTTGGCCCAGTATATAACTTGCTTTTACTTATAATTTCTAAAAACAATTATGACCAAAATATGTGACACGCCTTTTTGGCCACTTAGGAGTGACTTCCTACTCTTAGAGCTTTGATAAATACCTCAGACACAAGGCGCTAGGTCAAAAGCTACGTCTTCCTGCGTCGGTGACAGCTGGTGCTACATGGTGAACCACTCACAGTTTTTAAGACGGAGCGTTCAACATCCTCTCATTTACTAGACATTAGAATGTGTATTGTGGTGGAGGTGTGTGTGTACTGTATCCTGTGGCTGTGTCAGTCAGAGGGGGGGTCTTGGGGGTATATCTGTGAACCGCTGCTACGTGATGGTGTTGTCACTGTGGCTTTCACAAGGTTTAGATGTGTTTATGCAGTGAGGAGTTTTGTTATTCTGTCGTACTAAACGACTGGATCGGGACAGTCTGCCATTGTGTTGTGTTCAGCCTTGATGTGTGATATCACGCTGCGTGGGGAGACCAAAGCACTAAGACAATTGAATGCATTCCCTTAGGAGCCCTGTACACAGTTATGATGAGTCACTGAATACAGCAGCTAAACATGTGGGGCTTTCCGATAAAATATATACCATGTATTTGATTTTGCTTTCATTTATGTCTTGAATAGATGTTCCCATTAGTAGTTCACCACAGTGCTTGTTGTGGGGAGGGTTAGCAAAAGAGTGAGGGCAATTAGGCTAAAAATTGCTGCCTACTGAGCCATTGGACGCCCCAGAACTGTCCCTATATTCAGCAAAAAAGTACATGAGACAGATAGTGTGCGAAACAAATCATGCCCCATCTCCTCTCCGACTACCTCTAATGGCACATGCTAGAATCACACCCCAGTGCGGTCGGCAACAACCACTCAGAGCCGAGGAGTCTCTGACGCAGGTGTCAATCATGTCAATCGCCCCGTGAATTGCGCTCAAACTGTCAAACTAAATTAGAGAGTTGGTTCAGCTGGTGGGCAGTGCTTAAGTTTGCACCCTTTTTAACTGTATCCAACATGGCGGTCGCATCACAAATTTTCTCAATTGACAGCTAAACAGTACACTAAAATATGTTTCCGAAAACAGTGGAGGCGAGAAGTAGGCAGTGCAGTTAAAAAAAATGCTGCCTAGTTTGACAGTTTGACCACAGTTCACGAGCTGTGAATCACAGCTGCGGTAGAGACTCGTCAGCTCTGATTGGTTGTTTTCATTCTCATGCAGTAAGGCAACACAAGGCAATAAAGTTGCCCCCCCCCCCCAGATTATTGATTATTAAACTTCAGTTGTGATGCTGTTTTTGAATTTATTGCTTCAGACAAAACAAGACATTTTAAGATGTCAGCGACAGCTTTAATAAAAGGTGACGGGCATTTAAACATTATTTTATAGACCAAGATCAATCAGGAAAATATTTGTTAGATTGGCCGATGTTAAAACAATTTTTAGTGACAGCTTGACTGTCCGTCACCGAAAGCTGCCATCCAACATCTGGTTATGTTTGTTATGTTGTTAGTGCTCTCTTTGATCATAGAGTTCCTGATTTAAATCTGTTATAGACTAATTTTATTTTTGCAAAGTTTGTGTGCGACTGACTGTGTTCAGACTAGGGCTGAATGGTTTGGGAAAATAATCTAATTGCGATGGCAAGATGTAATCGATGCCCAGCACTGGAGCCTCATATTTGACGCCTTGTCCGTCGTGATGCAGACATGGAGATCCCAGCTGGCCCCTCTCTCATGCCGGCTGCAATATTTTCCCCTGTGTGGTCGTCTGGGAAGTAGGTAGCTTGTAGGCAGCGAGTGCTGGAACAAGTTTGGAGTATTGCCCTGTGAAGTAGCACCGGTAGCACGGCACGCTCTGCACAACACCTGATGCTGTGCAGTATCTTCTTCTTTAAAACCAAAATATGTCCACACCACTGACGTGCTGATTAAGTCTCGGCCGTGTCACTTTGTGACTGTTCCGTCGAGCCAGAGGCCATTGCGCAACAGGTTAAAGGGCAGCATGAGAAGTTGATGCAGCCGTATGCTCCACGCTCTCTTGCTCGTGTCACGTGACCACCTTGTAATCGCGCACGTTGCAATTAGAAAATCACGTTTTATCATATCGCGATATTATCGCAAATGCAATTAATCATTCAGACAGTTATTATTGAAGGTGAGACAATTTTAGCGTAAAATTTTAGAATGATAGATATCATCATGAAACTTCCTCAGATGATTACTTACAATAGTATGAAAAAAATGTGTTACAAGTTTTAAAAATTTTAATGTTTAATTATGCAGATTAGGCATTTTTGCTAATTTGCATATATTGTAGGAAGATAAATCTGAACATCTGATAAAGCCAGGTGCAAAATTATTTTTTCATTTTGTTTACATATAAGATGAAAAAGAAATTACAGAGGGATTCAAGGATATCTGCTTTTATTACCTAGAAAATCAAAATATACCCTCCATAGCCTTAAAAAAACAACAAACAAACAAACAAACAAACAAAAAAAACGATTTTCTCCATATTTTTGGGAATAAAATGTCACATAAATCAGGCTAGGAATGATTGATTAACAAATCCCTCTGTAAATATATTCAGAATATAGTTAGGTGTATAACTGGAAAGTTATAACAGAGATGTTTGACTTGGAGTATGACAAAAAACTAATTTTGAGAAAAAGGCATTCATGGGAATTTAATACATTTCTATTGGAAACAATTGCTCTCAAACAGAATAAATGTTCAGGCCCTTAGTAATAATAATAATATAGTATATTTCAAGCTCATGAAAAGAAATCTTTTTTGACCCATATTCAGTTGAATACAAGACAAGAGACAAGATATATTAATGTTCGACCTGATAAACTTTTGTAAATATACACAATAATTCTGAATTTGATTCCTGCAAGACGTTTCAAAAAAGTTGGATTTGTTCACAGCAACGAAGTTATTGCTGCACACATACATCGGCTGGTCTGTATCAATATTTAACAAGCAAACAAATAATTATTTGCTGTATTAGTTTCATAAACGTTATATTCAAATCCAGACAGTGGCTGTGTTACTTGTTAATTCTTTATTTACAGTGCAGTGCCATTGTTAGCCCAACCAGTCTAACATTTACACACCTCAGTACAATGCAGCTATTATTGATGTTATGAGTTGTTCTTTTCATGCAGTGAAATCAATCTGGCTGAGACACTGCGGTGACAGGAAAGCCATGTGGGTCATGTAGCTCACTGTTCTGTGCATTGATGCATGAATTTAGTTCTTACTTTGTCTTTGATGTTCAGACAGTTTCTTCATGTGTGCAAACTTTTTGCATTTGTGCAGTTTCCACGTCTTTATCGCCGCGTCCATCTCCTCTATTTTCTTCCTTTTCACTCCATCTGTAAATGATTTTGATGTCAGTGTCAGTGGCTGCGGTCGAACTGACTTCTCATTCTGACTGTGAGCATCAGGAGAGCTTTAAGGTCAATCAGGGATATAAAAATAATGATTTTAAAAGTACCAAGTAGGATAAGAGCATGAAAATATCAAATGCAAAACAATACATTTAACAAGGAAAACAGTTAATAAAGGCAAAAAAATCAGGAAATTATGACTCCACTTAGAAGGAATTTACTTTGGCTTTTGTTACATCCATGAAACATCCAGTAAAGTATTGCAACACTCAAGAACTTAAAATAGAAATATATACAATAAAGAAAATGCAAAGATGATTTACAAAAATGTACATACTCATGCATGCTACCATTTTGCACCTAATTATTTCATTGCATCTTGTTGGACTGACTCACAAACATCTCAGTGCACAGACATGCATGTTTGTGAACTCATTTCTGAAGTCTTTTGTGGCAGCACTCAGAGCATTTTCAGTCATTTTGTGGCAGCGGTACGCCCATCTCCAGTGACCTCCTTTTAAGTCTGATAGCATCTGCTCTCTCTTCCTGCTTTGGAAAGAGGTTTTATGCTTTGTTTGCACAAATCTGTCAGCCGCATCTGCTACTGTTGGTTCTGATGTTTGTCCTCATGAGGTGACATTTAACAAACATGCTCAGTGTTTTGCAAAGGATTTCTACGCTTCCTCAGTTGTGGGGTTGACCTCATTCTCAAAGCTGACATTTTTGTAATTGTTTGATTGAGATCAGGTCCCCAATTTTAACTTGAAAAAACTGCAAAGGAGCTAATGGACACTATGAATTTAAATAGTGTTTTACTGTACATAAAGTCTGTGAGGATTGCTGTAAATCATAAAGCCAGCACAGATTTTCTCCAGCAGTATCAATTTTTTCTCAGATGGTATTTACTGGGTCAAATTTATTTGATTTTCACAACACTTGAAGTTTAAAATTATATATTTTTCCTTGTCAAACACAAGGTTTTTTTTCTGTTTTTAGGTAGTGTGAAAACACACATATATAAAGCTAAAAGAAGATAAAGCAGTGAAGTGAAAACTGTGAAATGAAATGGTGTGGTTACGTGTGTGCGCCTGGAGCTGCCTTGTGGTGATCACCCTCAGCAACCAACTTTACTGTTGCGGTTATCACTTCTTTTACAGTACATGCTTCAACCTATGATTTCTCTTTCACACCTTTCACGTCTCAGTTTGTTTATGAGCCTCAGTGTTTCTGTGCATGCACGCGTTATCACGTGCATGCACATAAATGTCAGTTCACAGAAGAAATGAAAGTGAAATGTACTTTTTTTTTTTTCTCGTATGACTCATAAGGGCTTTTCGAAGGTATGTTTGGTATCTCATCGAAGAAGCTTTATTGAAGTGTTGATAGTGTTCTTGATTGAACTTTAAAATGCCTTAAAGTGCCACATCAATTTTTGGTTCTTGCTTCCTTCCTCCCTATCTCGTGCATCTTTTCCTGGAAACAGGCTCAGAGAAAATGTCATCAGTGCAATAATCTGATAATGAACCGGCCCCAGTCTGAGCAGGTGTCAACCTGTCACTTTGGCATTTTTTTTGGCGCTCCAAACTGTAGTATATAAAATGGTAAGAAATCATATTGTTTTGGATTTATTGTGATAATCTCTGAAACAAGACGATGACAGAAGTTGGGGCAGTTTATATTTGATGCTTTGTTAAAAAACAAAAAAGAAGAAATCACTGTCTGTGTGTGTTTGTGGTGTGTGAACACAGTAACTGTGCAATGCCATGAGGTATGGCTGCTTCCTGTAACAGGCTGCCGTCAGGCTTGTGTAAACATGCACACAGGGCTGATCAGTCTGGCTTTAAATTTCATTTAGTCGTCTTGTAATGGAGCTGAAATCAAATCAGAGTCGTAGCGCTGACGTCAGGATCGGTTAATGAAGGTAAAAGGCAAAACACTGTCTTCTTTTGTCTGCTTTTGCTGCTTTGGATTTGAGGAAGTGTGTGTGGGCTGTTGGGAAGTGTCTTTTTGTCTCAGTTCCTTGGTGGCAGAAGAAGCATTTTGAAAAGTTTCTAGTAGATTTAAAGAAGCTGTAGTTTAATGACATGTTCTCTGTATCTGCACTGAAAGCCAAAATATTTCCCTCTTGGACTCGTGCTGTATTTTAGAGTCATTTAAGCTTTTGTGTGCGTGTGGAAAAACACATAGACCCACTGACGGGTTCAGCAGGACTATATTGTGCATGTTTGCAGGCAGTGCCCTCTAGTGGAAAGTTAATGGTACTAAAAATACCCAGCCTCATTGAGAAGAAGGGCAGTGGGAGGGGTAAGATGAGAGTCTGTAAGTGACTTTAATGTTAATAGAAGGGGTAATTTCTCCTCATTCAAAGGCTCTGTTGTTGTCATTTCTAGAAAATACTTTGCTACTAGTGCCAAAGGGACATAACAAAGTAGTGGTCTGATATTAACGTCATGGTTTTGTTTTGGTGTTTGAATGCCTCAGAATAAATACAGTCTACTGTTTGTGTCTCTGTTTCCACAGTGGAGCCGCCGACCAACGTGACCTTTCACTGCCACAATGTGCACAATGTTCTGAAGTGGAGTTACAACCAGCTCTTGCCAGGGATGAGATTCAGAGTCGATATTCAGTCAACGAATGGTTTAAATGGGTTCGTGTTTTCTCTCGTACACATCATCTGATAAAATCTGTGTGGCTGTTTAAAACTATGTTTTTATGACGATCTGCCTGTACAAACAAACAGTGAACAAAGTAATTTTAAAACATTTATCCAGAGAACTTGGTGATCCTGGATCAGGCCTTGGTTTTTAATGTACAGTACAGTAATTTTTCATATTTTTTTCACATACTATACTATGACTTTTCTTTTCTTTTTTTTTTTTTTTACAAACAAACACTTTTTAATAAGTGTTTTCACATACTATACTATGACATTCTATTCTGCTGCCTTTTTTGTTTTTTTTTTTTACATACAGTAGCATGACTTCAAAAAAAAATGACATACTATACTATGACTTTTTATATTTTTTTCATCTTACCAAACTATAACTTTGATTTTTTTTCATATTATACTGACTTTTTTCCCACTTTTTTCCCACGTACTATTATTACACCTTTTTCTTTTTTTACATACTATACTATGACTTATTTTCATAATTTATTCACATACTATACTGTGACTTTTTAACAGTGGAAAGTAATTTAAAATTGCAGGAGGTTTTAAGCTTTTTTAAAAGTAGGGGTAAATGGATGGGCACACATGTTTGATTAGGGCTTGCATTGCTCCCAAATAAAGATATTTAAATGAAAAATATCCTTACGTACAAATGTGTTTCATGGAAATCGCTTATATTTAATAAGAACATGAGAATTATTTTATTATTTTTTAGATGTGTTAAAAACTTCTGAAGACGTGATTATAGTTTATACTTTGTCTTTTGCTCGTTATCTTCTCTTGATAAAGTCTCACTTGTCTTTTCTGTTTCCACAGTCATCCCAATGAGGTTTGGGTGGAACCACCAGCTCCGCTACAAGCTGACGTGTCGTTTCTCTCTGATCCAAGTAATGACTACTTCCTTACCGTCACTGCTGTGATTGGACAGAATGAGTCTGATTCCGCCCCTGAGGATGGAATCACTTTCACCTATTTCAAGGACTCTCCAGTGAAGAACAAATGTGAGTTCTGATGTCGCTGAGCTTACAATGACAACATTCAACTTAAGTTGTTGAGATATTTCAGTTTGGACCAAAGTGGTGGACGGTACACTAAAAAATGAGCCATGTTCATGTTGGTTTCCAGGTTCTGTGGACTTCCCATCAGTTAACGTCACCACCAAACAAGATGACACCATCCTGCTCCGCTTCACACATCCCTGGCTGGTGTACTACAAAAGCCACAGCTTAGATACAAAACCTAGGAAGAAGAAACATTTTGAAAGTGAACAACAGCTGCCTATGTTCAGTTACGATGTTGTTTTCCTCCAAGAGGTCAGACATTTTCACAACTTCTACTCCTTCTAAAGTTTGTTATGACAACGCTAAAACAATCACAGCAGAGGAAGTGAGTTGTAGACTTGTGTTAGTTTCCTTGTGAAGTTATTAATCAAACAGTAATAGTTGATTTAGCAGGAGCAGAAGCAGGAAATGTGTTATAACTTATTAGTAGTAGTAGTAATATAACTGCTTACCGTGTTATGGGTGGCGCTCTGTGCTCTCATGCATCACACACTTACCATTTTGCAGCGTGTGCACAAATTAGTGATGAAAAGGAGCCTAACTGTTTGTTGTGTGTGCAGATGGGGAGACACCATAGGATGAACTGTCTGGACAGTGTGTGTGAGGAGGTGCTTTCAGTGAATGCTTCACAGAAGAAACACTGTCTGAAGGTCAAGGGAGAGGTGAATAAGATACTTGTTAAAGCTGCAGAATTCTGCACCACGCCATTGGACGAAGGACCAAGCTGTTGAGTAACATTTTTATTTAATTTCTTGTGTGTTTTTTGTGTACGATTATGTTGTTAATGTGAAGATACACAACAGGCATTCTGTTACGTTAGCTTTGGAGAATTATGAGCCTCTTTGACACTGCCTGTTCAAGGTGGGACTATCGCTCCGTTATGCCACCTGTATTAAAAGGTACAATCACAGTTGTCTCGCTGGCAGCAAAGTAGTAACAGCGCTGAAACTTCAGGAGGACAGGTGTACAGTTTTAACGACATGTTACGTGTGCAACGTAAAACAGCTGGCAGCAGTTAGCAGCTAATTCAAAGACGAACAGCAACCAAAATATTTATTGGGGAGAAACTGAGGTGTGGAAACGCAAAAAAAAAAACTACTTAACTGAACTGTACCGTGCTGCTTGGTGGAAAGGGGGCTAACGATGCTGTTTTTCGGTACTTAACTCTTTTTGTAATGACAAAAATGTAATGTCAGTTGTCAAACAAAAGTGACGTTCCAATAAGAAGTTAAATCTTCTTCAATTGAAATGTTATCTTGAGCTAAGATTAACAAGAGAAAGTTTGTGTTAACTGATGTCTAATGTAATGGGCCAGACCCATTACAAATATTACAGCAAGCTCTGACTCAGTGTGACTTGAACAAGCTGCAGCGGTGACGTAGTTCTCTCTATACTCGTCCAGATGCACTCTCAGGTACTAAAATTTCACGTTGTAGGTTGTTGAAAAACATTAAAGGGATAGTGCACCCAAAAAAGAAAATTCAGCCATTATCTACTCACCCATATGCCGAGGGAGGCTCTGGTGAAGTTTTAGAGTCCTCACATCCCTTGCGGAGATCCAAGAGGAGAGGGGGTAGCAACACAACTCCACCTAATGCAGGCTGACGGCGCCCCAGATTAAAACATCCAAAAAACACATAATTGGAAGCCCACACACGTGAGCTCGGTGTACAGAGAGGCAGTTAGAGCTACAGGCTACAGTGAGGCTAAAAACAGAGTTCAAATGACGTTTTTCCAAACAACTTTTTATGTCAGAGCTTCAGGACACTTTGATCACTACGGACGAGCAGTATGGAGATATTTTGTGGTTTCAATTATGTGTTTTTTGGACGTTTTAATCTGGGGCGCCATCAGCCTGCATTAGGTGGAGTTGTGTTGCTACCCCCTCTCCCCTAGGATCTCCGCAAGGGATGTGAGGACTCTAAAACTTCACCTGAGCCTCCATCGGCACATGGGTGAGTAGATAATGGCTGAATTTTAATTTTTGGGTGCACTATCCCTTTAAAAACAGACACCTGAAGCAAGGCATCCAAAGCGGGGTAAATCACTGGTAGCTGTTCTTTCAGGAGGAATATGAACACCTTTAACAACAGTGAAAACAGCTCTTCTGAGTATCCACCATGACTCAGGGTTTCAGGCAGTTGCTGTTTCTGAAAGTGGGACCTTAAAGACAAAGTGGAAATGTTTCAGCACCCAATGAAGCCACAATGGTTCAACCAGTATTTCCCAAACATTTCCTATGAAGCTCCCCCTTTTTTGTAGATAATATAAAAGAAATCTTTTTACATACACATAAATAAACTTACAGTTATTAGTGTTGTCTGAAATGAATATGAAGAAAAGCAAAATGTGATTTTCGCAGTGTCTTTTCGGAAGTTTTTATTAAACATTAAGCTTTGGGGTAAGAGCAGAGATACTGTGTCACAGAGGAAAGGCCACATGTTTAATAAGGGTCATTGTAAAGGGAAGCAGGTCAGACAGGATGCCGGTTTTATCATCATCAGCAGGACATGTTTTAGCCAGCAGAGTGCGTATCAAGCCTCATCATCGTTAGTAGGTTTACCTCAAAGTTGTTTCACACGCTCACTCATGCTTTTATTTGGGTACTGTAGCAAAGCCCTTCATTCAGGAAACCACAGTGAGTCAAAGCCACGACTGGTTTCTTTGGTTAAACAGTGTGGCTATGTGGGATTATTAATACGTCTGCTAGTGTTTTTACTTTTACATTTGTTTTGTCTAGATCTCATCTACGTCAGCATCGCAGTCGCCCTGTCGGTCTTATGCGCAGTTGCTGTTATCTTCATGTTGTACCGAAAAAAGACCACGCCCTCAACTCCTTTACCATCCACCATGGTATCTTCAGCCCACTTGATCATTTAAATGGAAATTTTATTATGTTTGAATATGCTAGAAGAATGTATGTCCTATAAAAAACACTAATCTAACAATACCTCTTTGTGTCTTAAAGACGTTCACGAATAAACTGAAGCAGTGGACATTTGGAGTGGTTCAGGACACGGTCTCTTTGCCACAGGTGGAGCCTACCACACCCACACTTCTACTGTTACCAGAGGAGATCGACCCCACAACTATTGTTACTCCCTCTATGGAGCCTGAAGTCCGTCTGCCCATTGGGCTGCCAACCGAGAATGAAGGTGTGTCTGATGACGTGGAGGTAGGGAATGATGAAGGACCTGGGTACATGGCTGGCAGAGGATTGGAAGAAGAGGAGGAGCTCTGCTCCAGGGATTTCCCCTCTGGTTATGAGAAACGCCCGGTGCTGGTTGAGTTAGCACCAGATGAACTGGCTGAGGGCTACCGCGGCTGAACGTGGCACCTGTAAGGGTACAGGTGAACTTTGTGGCACATTGAATGTTTTACATCAGGTCAAATGACACCCTGCAATCACCTGTCATTAAATCTAAAAACTATGAATATCTCCGCAGCGATTTACAGTGTTCACAGATGTCAGGTGGTTCAGTTTGTGCTGTTTCCTAGTCAGACCATCCCAACGCCAAGTAAAAAGAGAATCAGGTTTGTTCCTCTTGTTAGTGCACTTTGATGTGAGTTACATTTTCCTCTGTATTTACATTAATATGTCAAAGCAACACGACAAGCTCAAATGGCTATAAGGAATTACCAAATCAGATCAGTTCCCAGAATGCTAAACTAGTTGGCACTGAGTTTGAAAGAGAGACTAGATTTGAAAAAAGAAGTAAACATTTTCACTGGCCTCCATGCTGCTTTTTATTGTTTACTGATCCTGTTTAGAGCCGTGTACACCCCTCTTGTCCACTGGCAGTGGGAAAGGAGTCTATTGCCTTTTGCTGCATTTAAATAACAAACCTGCGTATGTGTTAATTTTGGTGGAAAATGGCTTTTAAGTTCTTAATTCTGATATTCTGCATCAGACGTACACAGGAGCTTCAAATCTTTTTCTTAAATTAGACCTCAGCAAGTGATCGAGGCCAAGTTGAGTAGAAAATACCCCGTGATGTCCTTACCTTGTGTAGCGACTTGCTCTGGCACTTAAAAAAACGAGACCAGACGATTCTGTACACTGACTGACTGCTTTATCGTGTGCATGTTCATCTTTCAAAATGTCACTGCAATGAATCATTCACAGTTACTCAAATGGACTTAGCTTTGCTCTAATTACTGTATTACATATTGAAATAATAACCAATAACGACATTAACGTACAGTTTCATCAACATCTGTCTCATACAGTAACGTCTACTAGAATCCGTCATACGTACACACGCATTACTATATTTATCAGCTACTGAGTTGAGTGGTTACCGTACTGTGGAGTAGTTCGTCGTATGATACTGAGAATGTCCTCTTGCTTATTTGCACCTGTGTTTTCTGTCTGAATCAAGTCTCCATTAGGCTTATAGCACCTTAAAGTTGCTGTGAAATACAAGTTAGAGCATCTTTAACTTTTATAATGCAACATTTTATTTTAGCAAAGTGGAATATTTGGGCAGGTACAGTCACCAGACGGATTTGATCAAGTCCTGGATCACTTAAAGAAGTGTGTGGACGAGACGAATAGGGATCTGCCACCACCTTCACCTGCCTTACCTGCTGGTAGATCAGGAGGAGAATGAGGGATAAATGTATAAATCGGTTGCTTACTAAATGATGTCTCTCTGCTAGATGTCAAGTGTGGCTTTAAAGGATGGATGGGGAAAGCAGTTACCCCGAATTCCATTTGTGTAGATAAATATAGAATGTAGATGTGCCTGAGTTCAAGATGAGCCGCCAAAAAACTGTTTCTTATTTCTGACTTTATTTGACAAATACTAACAGTTAATTGAACATTTGAACACAGGAGACCCTGGGTTACAACATTTATGTTGTTTTGTTCAGCCTTTAAATGCATTAATGCAGTTTGAGAACTGCAGTTTATTAATTTCCTCATGAAATGAGAGCTGTTCTTGCACCAGAGTATAACGTGACTGATGTTGTAATATTACTCATTGTATCAGACTTTGTACTGTGCCTTATGTCCGTGCTGTAAAGTCTTTTTCTGAGTCAATTATTTTTTGTTTGTGGTAAATAACAGACAATTATACAGATGTTAAAGGACCAGTGTGTAGGATTTAGAGGGATCATTCTGCAGAAATGTAATGTAACATTCTTAACTGTGTTTTCATCAGTGTATAATCACGTGAATCGTTGTGTTTTTTTATGCTTAGAATGAGCCCTACATATGAGCAGCTCCTCTTTCACAGAGATCGCCATGTTGCACCACCATGTTTCTACAGTAGCCCAGAGGAGACAAACCAAACACTGGCTCTAGATAGAGCCATTCATGTTTGACGTTTCCTGAAATAATTATGATAAATGATATTCTTGTCACTTTGAGACCATTTTTTGCCACTGATATGATGTTATAATTGGAATTGAACCTTGGCTAAGTCCCGCCCCAGGACGCAGACCGGCCAATCATAACGTAGCACCGGGCCGGCTCAGACCAAGGTCCGACAACCACACAGCTGTGCTCCACCTCCATAATCCAGGAGCCAGGAGGTTTGCTGGTGGCTTTGGTGGAGGATGAAGTTTTTGGAGAGTAAAGTCCAAAACACACCAGCGGCGTCACATGATGGCGGCGTCATTGATGTGAGTCAAGTGCTGCCCCCAACACACACAAAGCGTCGCGCTGCGGGGCGTCAACTGGAATTCTATTGCACACTCCACTCCGCTAGGTGGCGGTAATGTGACTAGCTGGTTGCCAACCGCCAATTAGAACAAAAGACAAGGAAGAAGATGCAGGAAGAGAAAGAAAACACACAATGCAGGACAACCACGATAACCAGACAATGACGGTACCAATGTGAGTTGCTTATTATAGTTGTCTATATGTTATTAATGACTAATGAATAAATAATTGAACACTAAATGAATAATCTGAGCATTGAGATTATGTTTTGAAAGCAGCAGATCAACCAATGTAGTTGGTAGGCTAACGATAGATGGCGCCAAAGTTGTTCTTCTCTGCTCTTCAACAGAGCTGCTACTACGGGAGCTGGGAAGTACAAAATAGGCTTTTCTATGAACAAGAAGTGCTTTTTCAAGGGCAGCGATGCTGTAAAATAGGACAATAGTGAGAAGTGCTGCGGCATGTTACGTTGACGCGCATCGACACTCCGCAGGTGTGGGTTTGTAAATAGAGAATTATGGGGGTGTCTGTTTTGACACGCGTCATATGGCGCCGGTGTGTTTTGGCTTTAATACTTCAAACAATTAATCTTTTGGTTTGTTGCCATGGGTTGGCAAGCTAACGTCTATCAGGACTGAGTCTTCTACTCCATAAGGGCAGCTGCTGGCTACTGGTAAACTGTGTTGTGTTGTCTTTAAAGTGTTGTGTTGCAGTTTGCGACCTCTCCACTAGATGCCGCTAAATTCTACACACTGCTCCTTTAAGTTGATGTGAGATATCGCCAAACCTCGCAGCTAGATCTGTTTATATTCTTTAACTCGCAGGGCTGAATACATGAATGCAGAGTCTGGCTGAAGTGACCGAACAACACAGTTACTATGAATAGAATTAAAAAGGGAAATGGTGCTTTTTATTTACACATATATTTTTGTTTAATCGGTTGCAAATAGGAACGGTCGGATCTAATTACCAGCCGGAGTGATTGAATGTGATGATATGTGAATAAGTTGTTTAGTTAATGTCTGGATTTGTAAAAATAGGTCAGCCCATTAAACAGAAGCACTTGTTTATCTTATTTAGCTTGCTATCAGTTCATTATTATCCACATTGTCCACATGTTTCAGGTTCTGTGTGCAAACGACTGTTAATTGTCATGTGTCATTTTCTTCAGCATCACATTTCAATAAAACTAAGATAAGAGTATCATCTGACCTTTTTCTGCTTTTTTCATAATCTGTTCTAAAGAAGGATGTAGTCAAAAAGGAGAAGGGATGTTGTGATAGGATGTTGCACACAAATGTCAGTGAACATTTGTGTCTCAGATCTTACGTTGTGCTGACCATATTACAGTAAAAAAAAAAAAAGAAAAAAAAGTGACCTCATTAAAGAAGGGAAGTTGGTATTTCAGTGTAGTGAAGCGGCCACGTTGCAGCTGAGTTACTACTATTTAAACCGCTACGTCAGATTCTGTCAAGTCACCATGTGAAGGAAGAAACGTGCATGTCGTGATGTTTTATGACATTTGAGCAGCCCACATTGTTCTCTCCTCTGAAACCAGGAATTTGAGTGACGGGAGTCCTCTTCTGTGTGTGTGTGTGTGTGTGTGTGTGTGTGTGTGTGTTTGAATAGATGTGATGTTTCCTTCCTCTTTGTGTGTGTGTGTGTGTGTGTGGGGGGGCGGTATGGAGGGAGACCTTTTTTTGTTTCCAGTAACAGGTGATAACAGACTTCACTATCAGGTGTGTATCCTCAACTGATTCTGGGTTACTGGTTTGTAGGTAGAGGAGCTCGAGGTTTCTGGTAATCTACAGCAGTTATTATCTGATGTACTCCCACAGCGTCAGGTACAACACCATCAACACCACCCCTCATGTTCAAAATGTGTTCAGTTGAACTAGATTTAAGCTGGATGCTATTTAAAACTATTAATTTAGTTCTTTAATTGTATTAAGAAATGCACAAAAACCCCTGAGCTGGGCTTCTAAAAGGAGCCTACCTTACATTGAAATCAAACATAGCTGTATATGTCTACACCAGTTTACAAACGGACTTAAATATTTTAAAAATCTCTTTAAAAAAAACAAACATACGATTTCCAAACAAAACTAGAGAGAAAAAAAGACCAAGGAAGAAAAAAACCTACAGACAATTTCGAGTCACCAATTATCCTGCATGTCTTTGGACTGTGGGAGGAAGCCGGAGTACCCACACTGAAATGAGGTAGAACATGCAAACCCCACACAGAAGGGCTCCCCCACCATGGTTGCTGTGAGGTGACAATGCTAACCACTGGACCACCGTGCCGCCTGATTAATAATAAAACAAATGAATAAAAACAAAAATAAAATTATGCAAACACAGATATTGTTAAAATACGTTTGTATACAGCTGAATAGTAATTTGCATTTTTGCTACTATGACCTGGAGTGGCAGAAGCTTGACTCTTCAACATTTTATTCTTTTAGTCAATTACGCTCAGCTAAACTTTATCCACTTTCTTACTGTTAAGATTTCTTTGCTCATTTATTAAGTTTTAATGTTCTCTTTTTTCCCCTCACATTTTCTAAAGATCTTTTTTTTTAGCATCTTAAATTTCACTCTGACAGTCAGTGTCAGAGAGACAGGAATCATAGGGAGACAGACGGGTATGACGTGCAACAAAGGGCCACCTGCTTCGGAGTTGAACCATTTAGCTACTGGAGCGACCTATTATCAATCGCAGCAACTCATGTTGAGATCCACTCAACATGTGGATATAGTATTTTTGTTTTTTTTAATCAAAACTTCTTTTGTTCCAAATTTTGTTGTTCTAATTCCTCCAGCTAGCTCCTCGCTAATGCAAGTGCAAATACCCCTGGTTGGGAATCGCACAGTGTGCTACGTATTCTTTTGGTGACCAAAAGTTACCTCAGCTGTATTAATTCTGTAAGATGAGGTTGAAAAAGTTGAACTAACACTGTATAAAAGTGTTGTAAATTTACACTAAATTATCACGATAGGAAAAAAAAGTTAAAAAGGTTACAAACAGTTGCACATTTGAGTGCAGTCCAAATTTGCACAGTCACGATTATTTTAATGTTCTGCATGACATAACAATAACAATATAATCTCTCAGCTTCTGTGGATATTTATAAACCCATTAACAATGTAGTTAATAATTAACACGAAGCAGACATAGCAATTGTTAGAGAAGAAGTAGATAAAATTGTCAGTCCTCCTCCTTTCTCTCACGCCCTCTGTTGTCACTGAGCGTTGTTATGTAACACATTTCCAATAAACTGTTGGTGTTTCCAGTGAAATGTGTGGACAGCTGATAGTCATCGCTCATTCCAGTAACACATACTGGGAACTGTGTCAACCTGCAGCAGCAACATGTGGCAATTCCTCTAAGCCCCAGAGAGCAAACAGAGACATATGACCTCACAGAGGTACAATTTAAATATGTAATAATAGACCCCACTCATTGAAAACGTTTTGACTTGAGAAACACAGGTATAACTAATAAAATTAATGATGGTTCTTTTAGCTGCTTTAGTTTCTGGGTTCTCTGCTGAACATTCATGCCTATTTTTACTTTATTTTAAAAGTTTTTAACAGTGGAGGAAAATTCAGATACCATACTGTGAAAATACTAATCCTAAGTAAACGTTAGTAAGTATTATCAGGAAAATAAACAAAAAATAAATAAATAAATAAATGAAAACAAAATAAAAACCTAAAAAACTTTAATGATTTCCAAAAAAAAGAAAGGAAATTATTTAAATGTTTAGCAAAATAGTTGCCGATCAATTCTCTGTCAATCAGCTAATTGATTAATCTACTACTCATTTAAATACTTAAGTAAAGTACAAGTAGGGGAGACCGGGGCACAACTTATCGCGGGGTTAATTGTAACATGAACTTTTTAAGTGGTTACACAAGGTTGATCTGTCGTGCTTACGGCTAGTTGACCACAGTACCGCCAAACAGCGACCCGCAGAGATTGGATGTGTTTTAGCAGAGTTCAGTAACAAAGGGGGATTTGGCCGATTTCAGTAAATTTCTTTGTCACACTTTGCGATCACTGAGCCGTCTGTGTAAGTCACCAAATTCAACCATATATCATCTTGATAACTGTCTTCTTGCCTAAAACCAACCCAGTCCCACTCTAAAGTCGATGAAATCCGGTGCTTTGGCAGCAACTTGCGGTGTCAGACACGGAAGGAAAAAGCCGTCCTTTAACGTCAGCATGATACTCGGATGGTTGCCGGTATAGTTTAATGGCGCTTGGCAGCATCAGGGAAACGCAGCAGGACAAGAACGAAAGTTATGGTGCGTTCGTTTTGGACTCGGAGGTCGGAAATTCCCAGTTCCCAGTCGGAAGTTTAAACTCGAACGCACCCTGAGATCGGATTTCCAACTCAGAAACTCGGAGCAACCACATCAACCCCGACTTACAAATTCAAGATGGCTGCCGGTCACATACATAGTGAGTAAACACTCTGCTAAAGTACTGTTTATAGTAGTTTTATCTTATATTTGATTTACATTAGGTCAGCCTCATCTGCGGCGTTCATCAGTTGGAGTGCATGATGGTTTTGAAGCTGTCTATACTCCGAAAGTGCAAGGGCAACAAAGGCTTTCTTGCGGGCATCCATGATTTTTTCTGACTTGTCCACCTTTGTCAACTAGAATGCAAAAACTGTTGACAACTCGGAGCTGACGTCATTCCCACTTCCGACTTCCGACCTCTGACCTCTGAGTACAAAATGAACGCACCATTCAGGCAAAAGTCCAAGTAGGGTGGGAGGAAGGGGCGGTAGATGGGTCCAACAAACGCTTACCTTCACCCAGGAGAGTGGTGTTTGCATCCCGTAAAACTATAAAGCCAAACCCTGTTCTTTTTTCCTAAACCTAACCACCAAGACAATGCATGTAACAGGCAGAACTTGACACAGCGTCCCAGAACGTCAACAACCAACACACCAAGGATACCTTGTACGTTGTACGTGGAAAGACATGACCAGATGTCGATATGTGACGAGGTCGGAGTGAGAATGTGTTGCTAAAACAAAGCACTGTTTTGAACTATGTAACCAACTCCCAGCTGGTATAAGCTAGGCTACATAAAACTTCCACACAGCGGGGTTAGTGGTAATGCAGATTTACAGGTGATAACAGATGAAGAAGCCTGTGTTGCTCTCAGGTTTACTGTCAGTGTAGGAGGGGAGCTTTGTGACAAAACAATTTGGCAATCTGGGCAATCTTTAACTTGCGTAACAATGAAGCAGATGAGTGACAAGCATGAAAACAAAATTACAATATTCTACATGATGTGACGTTAATGGAAATCCCACAGGTTTTGTGACTGGTTTGGTCGGCGTGCTTTTATTTCAGATCTCAAAGGGGAGACAAAGCATTGAATCATTATATATTTCACTGTTTTTACGCACCATTTCTCATTTTAATCATCTTTTTCACATGTCTATGGTGTATTTCCACCATCACAGCTGTCAGGACTCTGGTTTTTAAAACGTTTCTGTCCACTGCCTGAGGATTTAAGCACCTGATACTGAGCAGACACAAATACTAACTCAGCTCCAGGACTCCTAAATCTCCTCTGCGAGACTGAATCCAGGAAAACTAAAGGCGGGGTCCTTTATTGTTACTGTTACTGTTCAGTCAGTGAACGCGTCAACACCTGTAGAATCTGAGATTTGGTGAGTAATCTATAGACAAACAAAATGTCAGCCCCGATAAGGCTGGAACATTGGTCATGAAATCTGTCACGTGTGAGTTGCACAAAACTGTACTTCTGTGTCGAACCGTGCAGCATTGTTGCAGTGGGGACAGAAAGCCATAAATGGACCATGCATCACGGAAAAGGGAAATGGGGAAGTAGTTGGCATGTTAAAGGCCGCCGTGTTCTCTGCAGCATCAGTCCAGTGTGGCTCGGTGTGTCTGTCGTGCTCCCAACAGCATCAACGCCATGACCCGTCTACTGCTCGGAGCCGTGCTGCTGGGGAACCTGGGAGTCTGTGTCACAGCTCAAGGTAACCATATTTATATGCTGTTATATTATGGATTGTTATTGTCTGACTGATTTTTCTCTCTGCTGAGTTTTAAACATCAGCTGAGAGGAACCTCACAGACTGATGGGTGCTCTCACAAAATAACCAACAACAGAACTCACAAAAACCAGCTTCTACACTCATACAGAATATAATAAAATGCAAACAGACTTGACTGAGCAGTAAATTAGGTGAATCACAACTTATGTTCTTCGTCTCAGAAGAGTCAAAACTTACTAAATGTCAGTCATTATCAGTTGCCAACCAACAGTAAGTTGATTTTTTTTTCAGCCAAGAACAAAGTAGAAATGCGGCCGACTTATGGGCCGGCCCAGCAGACGATGACATCTGTTAGAGTAATGTGTGTAATGAGCTCTGAGATTTCGAGGAACTAAATCCAGGTTGCCAGGTTTGAATAAACGAGCCCTGTGTTTTCAGGAACAATGTTGTGCATTGATGAGGCTGCAGCGTGACAGCATCAGAGTCCTTTTAAGGACAAACAGAGTCCTGGTTCTGACCAGATAGAAGAATAAATCTATTTCATTATTCCATTTCATTCATAGCACTTTTCTACGGAAGCGTATTGCATTCACTTGACAAAAAAAAAAAGCCCTGTTTTTCTGAGTAATATTTTCTGTTTTTCTGAGTAATTTTTTCCCTGTTTATCGTAATTTTTTTCTGTTTTTTGGAGTAATTTATTTATTTTTCTGTTTTTTGGTGTAATTTTTTCCCTGTTTTTCTGAGTAATATTTTCTGTTTTTCTGAGTAATTTTTTCCCTGTTTATCGTGGTAATTTTTGTCTGTTTTTCGGGGTATTTCTTTTTCTGTTTTTTGTGGTAATTTTTTTTCTGTTTTTCATGGTCATTTTTTTCCTGAACGAGGAGACGAGATACTTCAAAATCTCGCGAGAAGACAAATAAAACACTGTGTGAGTGTGTACTAAAAATAAATAATAAAATTGATAGAATAAGGATAGAAACTAGACACACAACAGATATACTGTAAAAAAAGCCTTTCTGTAAAAGTATATTTTAAGGTGTTTTAAATGAAGACACTGAGTTTGCTAACCTACGTTCCCTAGGTAAGGAGCTCCACACCTGCAGGGCTCTGACGGAAAACACCAGGTTAGGAGGGTCCTACCTGAGGAGCACAGGCAGCAGCCAGGCTCATAGTGTGTCAGTAAATCTATAATTTAGCCAATCAAATCAAGTTGATTTAAAAACAACTGTACTTGACTTAACTGCTATACAAAATAAAAGAATGACACACTAATATATAGCGATACATAAATGTAAAACAGAATAAAACCAGTAAGAAAAATCACATACGTAAAAAAAGATGATAAAATACTTAACTATTAAAACCATATTATGTTGGAGCAAGGCCATGTAGGGCTGTGAAAGTCATAAGTTAAGGTTTAAAATCAATTCTATACCTAACAGGTAGTCAGTGTAGAGTTGCAAGGGTGGGAATGATGTGGTCTTGTCTCTTGGACTTAGTAAGAAGTCTGGCAGCCGAGTTTTGAAGAGACAGGAAATGGCCTTTTGGCTGAGCCCTGAACACAGGGAGTAACAGTAGTCCGGATGTGATGAGATGAAAGCATGAATGACTTTTTCAAGGTCCACTTGAGATAAAAAAAAAAAAAAAAAGTTTTACTTTTACAGTGTTTTTAATTTGAAGAAAACAAGACTAAGGTTACGACCTTCAACCTTTTTACGGTTATTTGTATGATGAAGATCAGGGTCAAATGTGACACCCAAACTGTGGGCAGATTGCTTTACATAGGAGGACAGGTTCACAAAGTTCTTTTTTAATATGGACAAAACTCTTTTATTCTTCCTCAGTTTCATCTGCTTCAAGTTATTTACCTATGGTTTGTTTATTTTTTTGGCATTTTAGCCTCAAGATAAATCACCAGAACAGTTCTTTCCAGTATGAATCCTTTAAGAGTCACTCACAGGCTCAGGAAATCTCACCAAGCATTAACTTTTAAAAAAATTTCAGAGCCTATAATAAAAGCTATTTGGAATAAATGCACCTTCTGATTGGAGTCGAGGCTATACTGCACTTCTCTCCTCATTTTGAGTGTGTATTACTCCACTCCTTATTTTCATTTTACACTGTTTTTGTTCCTAACTATTGAGTTACTGTATAATAACCACCATTATTATTTAACTGTTGCTCTTATCGTCTCATAAACCATTATGTAACTTCCTCAGGTCCAGTGATGCTCGCTCCACCCTCCCAGGTGAGGTTTGACTCTGTGGACTACAGAAACATCCTGCAATGGACTCCACCCGCCAACGGCAGCAGCTCACTGCAGTACTACGTCCAGTGGAAAATGTGAGACATCGCACACACACTCACTCACACACATATATGTACAGCAGTACAGCAGCAGAAGAGGGTTTTCAGAGTTTGCAGCCCTGATCTCCTCAGGCAGGTCACCCCAAAGTTGACCTCGGGGCAACAAGAAAAGATGCATCTGAGGATCGCAGGGTGCGAGTGGGAACATAGGGCAGTAAAAGATCTGTGATATAACTTGGGACAAGGCCTCTCAGGGTTTTAAGTAATCAATAAAACCTTATAATCAGTTCTAAAGAAGCAGAGATTTGGATGAGCTGGAGGTGTGAGAGGGATTTTTTACTGATGCCAGAGAGGAAGGAACTGCAATAATCTAAATGGTTATGAATACATGAATAACAGTTTCAGGAAGAGTGTTAGAAAGGAATAATCTGATTCTGGAGATATTTTTGAGATGGTAGAAGCTGGACTGAACTACTGAATTTACAGATCTACATTTGTGCAGACATTCACAGTGTTTCTGTATTTCCTTCTCAGATGATGCATGAACTATCTGATTAATTTGAAAAGATTAATGATTGTACTTGGTTACAGTAGTTCCTCAGCCAAAGAAGAAAGTGTCAGGAAGCTTTTGCTTCACAAGGCCAGCAGAGCAACTGAAATGAGCCCAGCTGCAACATCAAAGTGATGCACATAGTGTAATAAATACAGGGTTTCAAAATACGTGGCAGGAATTCACTGCCACCAAGTCAGAGCCGTCAAACAATCACAGGATGCAGGCTGTACAAAATACAATAAGTGACTTTTAGTAACATAATTGAAATGACACAATTCATAAAAATGGGCGAAAGACTGCAACAGGTCACCCAACAAAAGACTCCCACTATTATCCACCGCAAAAAGTTCAAACCAGGACCAGACTACTGGCTTCAAGCACACCAATAAACACGGCACGCTGTCGCCCTCTGCTGGAGGCACTGCAACTTACACACAGCTTGTACACTGCAAACACACGTGACCTGCCCTGCACAGGTTACAGTCTAATTCCCCGCTGCGCTCTCAACCCACATGGCTAAAAGGCATTTGAAAACACACACAAGGTAAATACATAAAGAATATTAAAGGTACTTAACTCACCCGGTCGGCGTCTGTCATTTATCTCTGGAAGCCGGAGTCCCTCCTGCCTGCAGTCAGGCTCACCTGCTGCCGGTTCAGTCAATCAGTCGCAGGGCTTCATGTCTTCTACCTGCAATCAGACACACCTGTTGCCGCTCAATCAATAAGTCCCAGTGTTCATTCACATCACAATATTAATGTATCAACATGGAATGGTTCAGTCTGCATGATTTGTGCTGTACGGAAGGGCATTACATTCACTGAATGAATAAAAAACATTATATAATCATGTTTGTGATATTTTTAATGATAATGTGTCAATTGGTTTTTAAATTTATTCAGATATAATGCTTTTATTCTGAAGAACGTTGACCGGAAGTGCCGTCCTTGTGTTTCTCGTGGGCTCACTGTACAAATCAGCTAATTAATATTACGGTGTCAGCAAAATGCCTTATTGTAGTACATCAGGATCTTATCTTGTAATTACGAGATACTAATTACAAGATAGTTTCTCATAATTACGAGATCATTTCTCATAATTACGATAGTTTGTCATAATTATGGGATACTATCTCATAATTACGAGATACAATCTCATAATTGCAAGATACTATCTCACAATTACGAGGTAGTTTCTTATAATTATGAGATAGCATCTCGTAATTATGAGATAATTTCTCATAATTACGCAATAGCATCTCATAATTACGAGAGTTTCTCATAATTGTGAGATACTATCTCATAATTACGAGATAGCATCTCATAATTACGATAGCATCTCATAATTACGAGATAATTTCTCATAATTACGAGATACTTTCTCATAATTACGAGAGTTTCTCATAATTATGAGATAATTTCGCATAATTACGCAATAGTATCTCAAAATTACGAGATAGTTTCTCTTAATTGTGAGATGCTATGTTGTAATTACGAGATAGCATCTCATAATTACGAGATAGTTTCTCATAATTACGCAATATTTTCTCGTAATTATGAGATACTACTGTGTAATTATGAGAAAGTATCTCGTAATTATGAGAAAATATTGAGTAATTATGAGAAACTATCTCGTAATTCGTAATTCTCATAATTACGAGATAGTTTCTCATAATTAAGAGATAGTTACTCATAATTATGAGATAGTTTCTTATTATTACGAGATACTAGCTCATAATTACGAGATAAGGTGTCAATTGCTTTAACTTATTCACAATGCAATGCGCTCCCATAGTACTTTTACTTTTGGCAATTTAAATATGTTTTGAGGCTTTTGTACTTTTACTCAAGTAAAAGATAATTTTGGATACAGGACTTTTACTTGTAACAGAGTAGATCTACTCTGAGGTAACACCATTTTAACTTCAGTAAAAGATGTAAGAGTATTTCTTCCACCTCTCTGCTGTGAGACAACTGTGATCCACAGAGTGAAATAACCTCTCTGTGTGTCTGTCTCTGTGTGTGTCTGTCTCTGTGTGTGTCTGTCTCTGTGTGTCTATCTCTCTGTGTGTCTGTCTCTCTGTGTCTGCTCCTCAGTTATGGCGAGCCTCAGTGGTTGGATGTCGACGGCTGTCAGGGGATCCAGAAGCACCAGTGTGACCTCAGTGACTTGACCTCTGACCTCAGAGAGTGGTACTACGCCAGAGTGCACGCCTCCTCCCTGCCCTCCAGCAAATCAGCCTGGGCCCTGTCTCCGAGGTTCAGCCCGCGCTGGGACAGTGAGTGTTTACTCTCCTCTTCCTCCTCCTCCTCCTCATCATCGTCTGCATCCTCTTCTTCTTTGTTTCCTGGCTTCCTCAAACTGATGCAACTACTGAGGGAAGAATAAACAACCTGAAACACATACTGCTATATATAGTTCTTTATTTCGTCATTTATTTAGTCAATTTCTAAAGATAAAAAACATGTTTGATAAGCCTATGATGTCGTCTGGTGCTTTAACTCCCCAACCTGCAACCTTGAAGTACAAGATGTCAACAAAACACACACAAAAACACAAAGTACCCCCTTTCACTGTCTCTCTGTCATGGCTTTGATTTGTGCTTCATCATCGTGCATTAAAAAAAGAAACTTAAAATGTTATCCTTCTAATGTATCTGCAGCCAAAATCAGCTCTCCCGTACTGAAGCTGAACCTCACGGAGCAAGGGATTGTGGTCCGTGTGAGGCCGCCCAGGCTGCTCGTCCGGAAGCTGCACAGCAGTCTGCACTACAAGATCTACCTTAAACACACCAGCGGAGAGGAGGTACACACACACATACACACACTCACACACAGTCAGGAAAATCAGGCCACTAGTTTTCCCGCAATCATGCGGACAAAGAAACAAATGGCACCAAAAACATGAGCTCCTTGGTGGAGCAGCAGATTAGCTGAACATGCAAACGTGAAATTTGTCTGCAGCCAAGCAAACAGTCATTAAGAATAAATAATTATGATGGATGAGTAATTAATGGATATTTACTTTTACATTGAGCTTATTGTTAGGTTTTAAGTTTTGGTGTTTGGATCCCAAAGATGCAGAGACACAGGAGTGGTGTCTTGATCAGGCTTTTATGGCAGGAGTGATTACTGATGAGGACCAGGTGTGCCTCATTGTGAAGGCCCTGCTCAGCCAGCCAGCCACATCCTCAGCTGCCCACACACACTCTGCCAGGGAGAAAAAAACACAGAACAATCCCAAACACAAAACCAAACATCACAATGACACTTATCTTTCAACCGCATTCTTATTTTTGCTATGAATGCACTTAATGTAAGTCTCATTGGATAAAAGCGTCAGCTAAATAAATGCAGTGTAATGATATAGACGAGCCTGTGAAGTAAAGATTTAAGGGCTGCAACCAGCAATTATTTTTTATTATTTCGGCTCGGTACATGGCATACATGTATTATTTTCCGGGCATACAAGAACACAAGGCACATATTATTTATGATATGGAGGTGGACTCCAGTACATAAAGAGAAATTAACAAATAAGTCTAGAAGGAAAGAGAAGAAACTAACAAACAAAAGCATGTTACACAAATGTCCTCATACATCGGAGATACTCCTTTCTCCTGATGGCCATTTATTCTACTGAGCATACATTCATAATTATTTTCATTATTGATTCATCTGTTAATAGTTTCGTTTATTCTTTAAAGGGTCAGAAAAATGCTGCTCTCAGTTCACCAGATGTCAAACAGCGGTCACATGACTCTAAGGTCATGTCTTCAAATGTCTTGTTTTGTCTGTCCAGCAGCCCAAAACCCAAAGATATTTAATTTATGTGATTAAATAGTAAAGAGGTAGCAAATCTTCACTTTTGAGGAGCTGGAATCAGAAAATAGCTGGTGATGACTGACTTAAACTATGAAACAATTATCAAAATTGTTGTTGAATCGATTAACTTTCAGCACTAAGAGAATCATCATCATGGTAAAAAACAGATGTTTACCTGGAGTCTGGAACTCACATACTAGTGAAGCAGTTACACTAACACTACTACTGTTATGAAATCAAAGAGGAAGAAAAAAGAGGGAGAGGAAGAGCAGAAGAAGAACAACAACAAAACAAGAACAATAATAAAAGAGAAGAACAACAACAACACTAGGAAACACAACTTTTTTTCCGACATGTAGTATATAATTTCTCCTGTAAGGCTCAGTTTGCTGTCAGACTCCATGGTAGGCTATCTTATGTAACGATTGTTTCACGTGTCCAACTGTGCATCACAGTCCCTCGCTGCTTCCTGTCGTCTTCTCTCCTCCTCAGAAGGTGTTTGAGATGGGCTGCTGCTCCAACAAGCTGACTCTGAGAGAGCTGAAGCACAAGGCCAAATACTGCCTGCAAGCCCAGACCATGATCCCCCTCCAGACCAAGCGCAGCGTGCGCAGCCCTGAGAAATGTGTCACTACACTCTGATCACACAGGTACCAGCACACACACACACACACACACACACACACACACACACACACACACACACTCCCAGAGAAACTCATCTTTCTCCTTATTTGTATACATGTTCAGTTTAGTTTGTTGAGTGCACATCACTGCAGTAACAAGCCACCTTATCTGTGAGAGCACGCTACAAGTGTCTGCTTTGTGTGACTGTGTCTGAGCTGCACAGTATTGTTGGAGAGTGAAAGGTAACCTCTCCGCTGCCACAAAAGATTACCAAATGAGAAGTCAAGTATCAGCTGTCGCACAACAATCGCCCGAGGCAGCGAGACAGAAAGAGGGAGGGAAAATGAAACTCCTGGAGGAGAAATCTTAGCAGGAGAGTTTCTCCTCAATGACTATAATTACCTCTGCTCACTCCACCCTGTGCACTATTTTTAGACCTGCGACAGATTGTAGAGTTGTAATAATGTGAGTCTGGACAGTTATGTCTTTGTGTGGTTCATTAATGTTTTCCTCCCTCTTTCTCTTTGCTGTAGATAAACTCTGCCAACATGACACTCTGAATGACTGGACTTTTCACTCATCAGTTCAGCTTTGATTATCCATCGCTACCTCGACGGCTGCTGCCAGAAATATTAGTGCCAGTAAAAGTGATGCACTTTATTCTTTAAAGCATTAAGGATCTGACGTGTGGTGTGAACTGTGGAGGTAAACTGGGCGTACAGTACTTGAAACATTTCAGCCTCCAGGACACTTTGTTTCACTCAAGAGCTTTTATGTAATGTAAAATTTTGTTTGTGAATGTTCTAAAATAATCTTAACTCAAGGTCCATTTACCAGCTTTTAAATGTGGGATTTATTTTGTGTGTCAGCTCTATACAGAGCCTGCGCTGTAGCCTACGCACATGGCCGAGCATTTATACCTGAGCAGCGGTGTGTCTGTGTCACTCTGCAGTTACACCTCCAAACCACTAGTCGGCGGCAGAGGTTTGTGTGAAGAGCTGTAAAGTTTCGTTAATTCAAAACACACTTAAAACACACATTAAACATGGCTTATAGAGACAGTTTCAAACACAAGTACACAACTCAGCTTCACAGTAACTCGCAGAATTCACAGACAAAGCACTTGTCTTTATCTGGACACATTTCCCCACAAATTGTTTCCCCACAAGTGCTAACATTTTTAGCACAAGCCTATAGCATTTTACATTGTGTAAATTAGCCTAGTGACGAGCGGAGATTTCCTCTGCTCATATGAAGCCAGGATAAATCACACACAAGATTTAAAATGCTATTTTAGTGGAGGCTTTATTGTCTTCACAATTTATTGTTGATGATGATGATGTGGTTCAAAGCTCCGGTAAAATCTAGTGAGTGGACCTTGAGTTAAGATAATTTCATCTCTTCAGCTTGTTTTGTCCTTTACATGAAGCACAGCTCATTTTTCACTTTCGACACACTACAAGTGAATCACACAGACTTAAGACACTAATATCTACTTCAGCTTTCTCTACAGGTATTTCAGATTTTTTTATTTAATGATTTCCTTCGTCTTAACGTTTCTGTTTGTTTGCTTAAACTGTTCCTCCAGCATCAGTTTCATTTGTGCAGGGGCAGGAAGGATGTAGTTTGCATAAGTTAACACTGTGACCACTGTCTGTACTTTAATTCACCTGTGAAGATCAATAAATGTTACCAAAACTTTTAGCCAAAAAAAAATCTTAAAGTCAAACACTGCCAAAATATCTCAGGAGCTTTACTGTGACGCAACGAGTTTACACTTCAGCACTGTTCAGACGCAAAACTCTAAGAATGTATCATGTATTTGTTGTATGTGCCATGTTACAAATTAAAGCCACTCACACTGTTTACACTGGTTCAATCTGTCTCACAGGATTAGGTAGCCTATATTTTTCTTGCTGTCATTCAACCCTATGAGAGTGAGGAATAAAATCAACAAAGTGTTTATACTGTTGCTTAATTCTTTCATTTCCAAAAAATGGCTCAATATTTTCCTAAGACAGCCATGCGCTGCAGTTTTTAACAAAGCACACTCAAACAGGACTAAATAGTGCACTTCTTGGGGTCTATTTTCAGCTGCAGATTGGTAAACATTTTGTGCAGCTAGTATGTTTTTGAGCAATAATGGAGGTCTGGGGCCATATTCATAAACATTCAATGAACACTCTCCTACTCCTACAATTTTTTAGTAAGGAGTCTGAGCTTAGGAGCGATTTCGGAAAGTTCTCAGAGCAACTCTGAGCAAGGAAAGGACAGAAACTTTTACCTTAGTGGGGAGGTGTGGTTGACCCTGTTGCTAGGTGTGTCTCATTCCTATGACAGATGTGATTGGTTGTCACAGACACACCCTTTCGTGAGCCTGCAAGGTGTGGACTGTGGACACCCAGTGGAAATGAAATGAACTGCTGACTATTAAAGTGACGTCATCATCACACTAGAAAGCTTTGTGAATATGGCCCCTGGTCTTTTCATACTTTAAAAGATATACAGTAACTGTCTGTAAACATGCTCGCCAGCGAAAGTGAAAGTAAAAGCCAGTCTCAATCTCTTTTTTTGGTGTTGTATCTCTTGGATGTCTGCTGTTTGCCACCTTTTTTTTTTTTTTATAAGGGCCCGAACTCACGAGCGCTGTGGGGGCACACACCCATAGATGTCCCCAACACAGTACGCATTGATGCATCATATTGTTAGCCTAATAATCAATATTAAAGCTGAAGTGCAGGACTTCTACATCTGTTACATTCAGGCCAAACAAGTTCACACAATGCTGATTAAGCCTATTGCCACCATGAAAAGCTGTCTGTGGTGTCTTGTCCGCACAGGTGCCCTGAAAGTGATATGTTTTAAGTCAACTAGCCAAAAGGGGACAGGAAGTAGGAAGAGACCATAGTGACAGAGCAGCAGCTTTGAGTATGGCGACAGCTGAGCTGGAAAATCCCAAGTGACCAAGAAAACCTTGAAAACCTTGAAAATGTGAGGATACACTGCTTTTTCACTGCAGTAAGAAAGAAATCATATCACCACTTTAACTTGCGGGATGTACATGATCTGAATACTTCTTGAAATCTAAGTAGGAATCAGCATCAAATAATCGTGGTCATTTTGCAGCAAGAGAAAAAACAAAGGCAACATTAGTCTTGATTTAGACTTTATTCAAAATGTTGATAAAACTTGATACTCTTGATCAATCAGGCGTGAAATAACCAATACTGTAATGATAACAAAAGAAGTTCACTGAAACAGATGAACTCAAAGCTAATCTGACACGTTTCAGCGTGACAGAGACGTTCAGTGACTTAAAGGAAGTGTTGCATTTAACAGGAAGTCTCGTTAATTGATCAGAAGCTGGCGGGTCTTTCAGCGACAGCGCTGCGCCTCTGAGGTCGTTTTGTGTAGTTTTCGTACCAAGTCGTTTTCTTTGTAAGAACTCCTCACTAGCAGCTAGTTCATTTAGTGGTTTTGGTCCTGAAGACAGAGAGGCCTTTAGTGCTGGTCGAGGTGAATTTGGTCCCTTAGCCAGAAGCCTGAATGCACCTTATTGATAACCGGTATCACAAATATTCATGCTGCAGTTTGTCAAATGTAGTGGAATGTTTACACGTCGAGTCATGAACCGGACGACAAACCGCAGCTTCAAACTGAAATAAAATATTTTTAAGGGAACATAGAGCACCAGTGCATTGTGGTATTTACAGATTGAACCCTTAATTCATAGCAAAGGGTAAATCCAGTGATATCTTGGCTTGTAAACTGCCCCTTTAACAGCTAGGTGATTAGTAAGGCCTTTACAGTGTTGCTTTGACAGTCAGTGGTCATAAAACACAGATCATGGGAAACTTCACATTCTAAATCATCATAAGATGCCGCAGTGATATACACATCAGGAATCACAATTATATTTACACCATATGGGAATTCAGATCTCGCTGTAGATGAGCCCTTGTTTTGTCCTTCAACAGGGGGACATGTTTTCTAATGTTCTCAAAAACAGACTGAAGTAAGACAGCGGGGAAGAAAGGGGGGATATAATCAGTCAACAGTAACACAGGAGTTAGAGAGCCCAGGAGTGACCAAGGGACTAGATACACAGTCAAACCTCCACACTGTCAAGCTCAGAAGCCCAGAGAAAAACCTGCTGAACAAATCAGGATAACAAACACTTTGTTAATCATTTAGAGTCTGATAATGAAACTGTCTTCAGTCTCTTTAGCCAAAAATCTGTCCTTAATGTCTCCAGACCTTCCTGAGCTTGATTAGATAGAGATTTGACGACATGCTGACACTGTTTGCTTGATGCTACATAAAAAGTGGACAAAAAGAAAAAAAACAAAACCAAAAACGTGACTTAATTAAACATAACATTTCAGGGTTCCCACTCATTTTTACCAATTCATTTGAAAAACTTTTCATAGTATTTTACCCCACTTTTATGACCTTATTTAAGTATTTTAAAATAGGCTGCTTCCCCATGTTGCTAACGTCAAACATTTTGTTGCAGAGCCCACATCCAGTGCAGTTAGGGTCTGCCTCTCTCTTGAGCCTAGTCATTCAAGGACGACAAATTATTAAACATGCACTTCAAGAAGGCATTTGGGAATAAGCAAACTGCTAGCACTGCGAACGTAACTCACTTGTTAGACGTTGCTGCCATCTAGCTGCATACAACGGCTTCACAATATATCTTTTTATTGTCATTTGGATGTCAACTTGCACGAGAGACTGCAATATTGCACTAAGGAATTTTTTTTTGGAGCTACTTCAAAGAGGATCAGTAGCAAACTACACTTAAAAATGAAACCATCGTCCTTTTTTTTTTTTTTTTTAAATCGGTGCTTTTTTTTGCTCGCTTCAATGTTTAATATGTTATATATAAAAAACCTGGTACACTTTAATATCAGTTTATTAACGTAATATTCTTAGTAAGTAATACTGTGGCAATATTGTAATCGTAATATTAGTAATGTAATATTGTTATCGTGATATTCAACAACGTGACTGCATGTTTTCCTCATATAGTGTAACCCTACTGCATACGCCAGTGTATATCAATTGATATTAGTGATGTTTCAACAGTCACAGCACTAGATATAAATAAGTATTATACGGAACAAATTCTACAGAATGTTAAGATGGGAATTTTCTAAACATACTTTAAACAATAGCCAAAAAATTGTATATTCAAAACTTTGCCAAAACATTTTGTTATCTCTGAATTATTTCCAGGCCTTGAAAACAGTTTCTCTAATTTAGGAATTTCATGATCGTGGGAACCCTGTCATTTGTTTGCCTAAATTGCAATACTGTGCTCACATGATAGTAAAAATGAAGACATGAATTTGACATACAGAGAAACGTCAATGCGTCAGAAGGCACAGTTTGTCTGGTTTACAGTATTACATCACAGTCTGGTTTACAGTATTGCTATTTGGTGGCGTGGTCACTCCCGGGCTGTGTAGAAATACTTGAATCTGAAATCTGCTGTGTCATTATGTTCAGCCAATCAGCCATCATCAGGGGGGATTAGATTATATTCATAATTTATGGCAGGTTTTCCTGACACGAACATTCGTGACTGAAGTGTTCCCCCGCTCTGCTGCAGTGTGCTGAGTACAGGAAATAATAAACAAACAAAAAAAACAACCGTTTCTATAAATACTCTTAGAAAAATCCATATTAGCAACACATGACCACAGTGGCCGTTTAAAATTTATCCAAGTTTTGAGTGAAAAGATTTCACGTTTGCTTCGTAGGACTTCCAGTGTTTTTCTACCTGCATCTCTAAAATCTTCAGGGCATTTTGGGAGGAGACATACTTGCATCCCTGCTACGATCCAGTGTGTAACCTGTCCCCAGAACACAGACGATACTGCAGCATCACTGACTTTTAAAACAGTCATAAAACAGCATATATGTAATACAAAACAACTGCCAGCATTAGGCTGAGAATGGGATAAAAAGACATATTTACAAACAAGGCATAACCATTTTTTTTTTGTTCAACATTTTAAGGGTACATGCATGCATGATTCTCAAGTCACAAAAACCTAAAAGCGTGATCGCACAACTTTGAAACTGACATGGAATGTATGTCCTGCTGGTCGCTACGGTAAGGTCAAGTCTCTTCATATTAAATTACCTATAAAAATATATATATAAATAAAAAGGTGAGGGTATTGTGTTGCGAAAGCTGCAGCAGCGGTCAACGTTGAGCTGCACCGACAGAACGAGAAAGGAAGAAGGTAACAAAAGGGAGAGACAGAGGTGAGCGAACAAAGGCGACAGTCGAGCACCGAGGGATCAGAGGAGGAGCTGCTGATCCAGAACGTTCTGCTCAGGTTTCAGAACTGTGTGTGTGTTCAAGAGACAAGGCAGTGTGTATGCGTTATTATTCTGCTGCCAGTGTTCTGCCTGGTCCTGCCACACTGTGCTGTGATTGGGTGGTACTCATAACCTCAACATGTCCTTCTGAGTGGATGCTAGCTGTGAGCATGGCCAAAGTCCCGCCCTACTGTGCTATGAGTGCAGATTTCTAGGGAGAGGTAATGTGACTAAACATGGAGCAATACAGTGGAGAGAAGAGATGTGTGTAACATGCAGCAGAGCAGTGATTGTCATCTGTGCATGGCATCACCATGGGGCGCTGTGCACACTGCAAGAGGGAGACACACGGAGGGGTGCAGCCCGCTCCGCAGAACCTGTTGTGTGCACAAGACGCCAGCAGAGCTGACAACGTTCTTGAAGAAACGGAGAAGTAGGAGAAGGGATGCCAGGAGACACATCAGCCCTTAGAAAATTAGGGGAAAGTCGGCTTTTTAATTGGGCTCTGGCCCAAAACTACTGCCATGGTTTGAAAGTTAGGGTTGGGCCAGATTTTTTGGGCCTGATCAGAGCTCTAATGCTTCAGGCGCGTGCCTCTGTCAAAGAGCATATCTCAATTCTTTTAATGCATTACAGCAGAAAGCTATTCTACTTCTGAATGTGGTGCGCTGGAAAACCGTGAGCAATAGTATTTCTTAGAAAGAAAAAGAGAGAGGGACTTGGCTGAGACACTGCAGCTGTGCCTGCCTCAGTTTTTTTGCATAGCAAGAAGCCTCATCTACAGGTCGGCGGCCTGTACAGCTGGCTCCTCATGCTCTTTGTAAAATCTACAACAATTCTACGGCTGAAACTTCTGTGCAACCTGCAGTGAAGAAACTGGCTGAGGATCACTAAGCACAGGGTTTACACTGGCTTTTTAAGCAATTTAGCTTATTTCCTTTGAAGGTTACAATAAATAGGCCGTCAACGGAAGCTAGCTTACTGACTAGCCTACTGGGGCAGCTGTGGTTCCTCCAGTCCACATGTCAAAGTATCCTTGAGCAAGATATTGAGCCCCACATCGCTCCTGATGGCTGTTCCATCGGCGTGTGAGTGTGTTAAAGCTGTGTAGCATGTGGCACCTCTTTCAGTATCCTCAGCCACCTTTGTACAAAGGTGACGCGTAGTGTAGAAAGCACTCTGAGTGGTTGCGAGACTGGAAAGGGGTGATACAAGTGCAAGTCCATTTACTGCTTTTTTCCAAGCGACCTCAGACCTTTTCCTTAGTAGGCTGCCCTTGTTTTCAATCGGAACAATTAATAAGAATACTTCTAGTTTGGCCGCTCACTGTCTGGCTGCTGTTTGTGATCAATAACGAGATGCTGTTAAAGTTTAAATATCAACTTTCTTACTGTTGCATTTGTTTAACACTCATAAATACTGTATGACTTCTATTGACGTGGCTTTTTAGTTCCTTGGGAAACTAATGTTAATGACATTCCAGCTGTCCAGTTCAATCAAATCTGTTTTTGGCATTTAATGACATGCTTTTTTAATGACATAATATTAATATTGAAGGAGGACAATTAACCTACATTTCAACTAATGGTGCAGAAGGGGACCTGGAAAACTGATAGGGCCCAAAAAAGACTGAGACCAACTGTCTTAAAGAGTTCTCTAACCCTTTGATTTTCTTCAATTTGGTTAATCAGATTTTTAGCCATTTGCAGCTTTTACAGCAACAATGACAGCAAGGCAAATGTAACCAAGAGGAAAACTGTCCTACACTAGAGCATCACGTTGAGGTAACAAGTACTAGCCAATCACAGTGCAGTAGGGTGACAGTAGGCAGGACATGGGAAGGGTGAAAAAACATAACGCAACGTGTTAGACTGTTCTCAAACTGAGTGGGTGCATGTTCTAGACCTCCTGTGACACAGATGTCTTTGAGAAGTCTCAGACTTGGCTACACTCTAGAACACTGAGATCCCTATGTCCTAGAGCTAAGACAAAGCGGGGTTCTATGTTACAGAACGTTTTATAAAATGGAGGAGAAAAAAGGCAGCCTGGTTCTAAACCCTCCAGGAGTTTTAGGCCAAAAATTCTGTCTGTATGTTCTGAAACACTAGATTGTACGGGATGAACTATGACCACAGCAGATCACTTTCCAGGGCTCCTACGAGAGGAACTCTTTCTCCAGCTCGAAAACGGAGGTCCGTCCCGGGGAGCTCTGAATGCGGCAGAGCGGCACAGTGCAGTCCCGTTTCTGTCCCTCTGTGTCCATGTCCAGCAGCGAGCAGCCCTCTGACGTCAGCACCATGCTTAGGTTTTGTGCTGTCTTCTCTCCAGAGTAGTGGCCCAGGGAGTAGCTCTTGTTGCGTCCCCGCAGCAGGGCCCAGGCGTGAGGTCTGGCCCGGAACGACACTGGCCGTGGTCTGGAGAAGGCCTCGCCACTGGAAGGCTTCTCTGATGCTCCGTCCTTCTCTTTATCCTGCTTCTTCTGTGTGGCTGGAGGAGGCAGAGCAGGTGGGCCATTGGCTGGAGACAAGACAGGGGAGAGTTAATATCTCTTCAAACTACATGCTCACTTCCCTTCACCCCTGTTTCGTGTTACTCACTATTGTGGCTGGTGGTATATTTCTTTCTGCGTAGACGTGTTCCAGTGTTGTGGTTGCTCTGCTCTGGTGGCTGGCTTTGGGTTTGCACTGGTGTCTGTGTGTTAGCTGCAGTCCTGTTACTCTGGCCTTCTGTAGAAGCTGCCAGGCCCGGTCTGGATGAGTCTGCGTGATGATTGGCAGTCACCAGCTCAGCCTTCCCCGGGCTGGACTGTGACACCTCCGCCTCAGACTGTAAGAGGCACTTGGTGGAGTTGCATTCCATGATGGCGGACATGGAGATGAGATTGACAGGCTGGGTGGCGGTGTGATTTGATGATGCCTCGTCTTTGCGGGAGCGACCACTGGGTGGTGAGGTGCTGCGGCGGAACCGGGTCGCTCGCTGAAACAGGCCTTCCTTCTTCTTCTTCTCTTTCTCCTCGCGCGGGGGCTCGCAATCTTCCCCAGAGTTTTTGAGAGCCTCCCTAATGTCATAACCGAGCACAACTGAAGCCAGCAGTGAGCCGCAGCCGTACAGCACAGAGTCAGTCTTGCGGCGAGCTGACGTCCGCTTCAGGCTGTTAGTGGGGGTCAGCTGTGGGGTGGTGGAGGTGGATGAGGTGGATGTGGTGGTGTAGGGGTCGTCTGGGGTCTCTGGTGGGGCACCCTGACCTGCCGCCCCGACCCCAGCATCTGCCGACCCACAATGCCCACCGGGGCTCTGAGGCTGCTGCTCGTCCCTCCACAGAGGTAGATCGATGTACACCTGGTTGGGGAACTTGAGCTGCTTTGGCTTGGAGCTGCTGTCGGGACATTCCTGGGAGAATGCCTCGTCCTTACCGCCCCCCGCTGGAAACACAGACGTGGAAATCAAACAATACAATCACATAAAACACGCAAACAAGCAAAAAGGACAGGCGTCCATGGGCATGAATACTGAAAGAGTAACTGCTGCCCAATCTCCCACATGTGAACTTAACTTTTATATATATATATTTTTTTTACAATTTAAAATGGGTAAAAACTTATTTCATTGTAGACCTGCGCACAGTGTATTGCTTCGCTTAGCACCTCCTTGCCTCACTGTCTCTCTTCTAATCATGAGACACAAGAAGACTACTGCTGCAGGAGTATAAGCTCTGTGAGAGTTAATGAGTGACCACCCGAACGGACACACACACACACACACACACACACACACACACACACACACACACACACACACACAGCGTTGGGACATTTCCATGTCAGTGTGAGTTTGTGACCGTTAAATGGCTCAGTGTTGGAAGTTTAAGTTTTCTGATGTTGACTTTTAATTTATAGTAGGCAACTTGAAGCTCCAGAGCCACGAGTCTCTTTAGACCCTCTTCAGTGGCTTCGTCTGGCTTTGACATAAAATCTGGAAATGAATGGCACTTATTTTTTAACATTCAAATGTTCATTTTTCATTATTGTTGGCCTGAAGTAATTATTGCTTTCTTCAACTGTAAAAATGTGAAGCCCTTACATCAAATTAAAAAATGTTTTAACGTTTCATCAACTAAAATGTGCGTCATACGTCTTCCACCTGGTGCCTTTTCCTCTAAATTTAGCTGAACTTCAGTAGCAGTGGCCTGGAGTCTGTCAAGCATGGCTAGCTATAGATTCCAAATACAAAAAAAGAAAAGTCATAGGGGAAAACAGAGGATTTAATAATGTGTGGACAGATTCATTTACTTTCACCACCAAAGTTAAAGTACGAAATAATTACACAGAGTAGCAGCCTTGTAGTAAATCATATAAATGAATGCTCACTTAGACCTGTTCGTATTGTTGATGGGCTAATTTAGACTGAACAGACTGTTACCTTTATTCAAATATGTTTTGCGGCTTTTGGCCAATAATGGCTCTTTTAATAGTAAAGTTTGCAGACTCCTGGGCTAACTGAATTTCAAATTGCACTTGTTTTACATTTTTGGCAAATTTACATTCCTACTCTCACATTGGATTTTTTTGTGAGTACTTAAGTACTCAATAAGATTTTAATTTTAACCCATCCTTAGTATACTGCGTGCAATGCATGAATCTGTATGTTCTTCATGATGTTTATGTGCAGGCTGTAAAAACAAAACTTCCCCTGAGACAATAAAACTATCTCTATTCAAGAAAATCTTCTAACACTGCTTTTTTCGTAAATAATGTAGACAGAGTACTTTCAACTTGACAGCAATTGACTAAATTACGTTTGAAAACAGCAAAATGAGGACAATAAACCCCATTATAAATCCTACAAGTAAACAAGCACTCAAAAAAACTAAGATTTCAAAACCTGTTGAGCAAAACAACAGTTATTTATCACTTTGGACAAACTGTCAACAAAAACTGCAGAGCAAATTCACACAATAATAACACAAATATCAAACAAACACAAAATATCTTTATGTAAATTCAACACTTTAAATGTGCAGCATCACAATGGATTTTAAGCTCACCTTGTTCAGCAAACAGGGCAGCGAGGGGGACAGACTTCTGGGACTTGACCAGGCTGGTGGACCAGGGGTTACTACCATCTGACAGGGGACGCACTCTGAAAAGGAAGAGACGCCACAGACAAAAAAAATAGAAATTAGAAACTATTTTCACTTGTAGTGTGTCATATGTTTGTGATATTTTACCTTATATTTATATATTTCTGTTTACAATATAGAGAAGAGTCAAAAATAACGTCAACACATGAGGATGTGGTTATGTTGTCCACCCTGATATCATAGTGGAGAAATTACTGGCCTGCTTTTTTTTACTGTGTGAATCTGCATACACTCTACCTCTCAGCAGCAGCAGGCCTCTCTTTGCTCTGGACTGAACTGGGGCCCCAGGTTCTTCCTTTCTTCTTGATTCCCTTTTTCACGTCATCAAACTCCTCTGGCCTGAAGAGGGTGCTGCGGCCCCACGTTCGGTTGCTCTCATCTTGAGTAACTGTTAACACAGTAACCACAGCAGTTAACCACAGACTCAAACAACTGCAGGAAGGTGCTGTTAGGCAAACAGCCCTGATTGGGAATCTGGTGTAGACATGTTAGTAAGATTATTAAAATATATTATGCAATCTGTAAAATCCCAGTAGTAATCTCTCGCTTAATTTTTCTTTGGTGTCTTTCTCTCCAACTATGTCTTCAAAGAGAACTTAAAAAGTCTAAATAACCACATAACTCACAGGTGTTCTCTCTTAAAAGTCAAGGGATTATAAGGCTGTTCTACACTGGATGGATATAAGCCTTTTATTATTTTAAATAACTGCCTCTGATTCAGGAAGATGTAGAGTAATAGTTTAATTTTTTATACTAAAAATATCACCTATGTTTATAAATTTCTGAAAATGTAAACTCAAAAAGCCAAAAAAGCATAAACAAACCCCAAAGAGCTGTTATCATATTGATGCTTCCTATTGCTGTGGGTTAGTCATTGTGAAGCTGTGAGGGAGGATCCACCAAAGATGTCAGGGCAACAGACTGGGGCCAACATTTACTAGGAAATGTAGTAATTAACAGCACTATCAGTATACAATTATTAAATTCAAACAAATATGAATAGCAGAATGACCCAAGTCTGTGGCAACACACCATCATTGTCACTTGCCCGTTTGATTTTCAGGTAAGTAGAGCACCTGTGAAACAACCTCAACCAGCAGCAAACACCAAAGTCTTGTTATAATCCACACATCAGGAAAACCTTGTCAATCAGCACAACTATCCCCACTGATGAGAAGCTGTCAGAGTTAGCCAAACATCACATGCAGCGCTCTGTGCTGTTAGCCACAACCACGCTGCATGTGAGTAGCCAATAGCTTGCCTTTCCTCCTGAGCCCATAGGAGGTTGTGAGCTCGCTGGTCAGATCAACATCCTGTTGGTAAACATACAAACTGTCCCTCCGCATGTGGGACGTCACTGAGGAGGGAAACATACACGTTACCTCTAACCAACATGAGTGTTACGACAAAAGTATAATCTATCTTATATTAATAAGCTAGGAGCATATTATTGAATGTGTTGTTAAACAGGACATTAACTGGATTCAGGCCTATAAATTATTCATTCATTCATTTTCCGTAACCACTTATCCTGTTTGGGGTCGCTGGAGCCTATCCCAGCTGACATTGTCGGAGAGGTGGGGTACATCCTGGACAGGTCATTAGACTATCACAGGGCTGACACATACAGACAGGCAACCATTCACACTCACATTCACACCTACGGACAATTTAGAGTCACCAATTAACCTGCACGTCTTTGGACCACTCTGGATTCAAACCAGGAACCCTCTTGGTGAGACATGTAATTGTAATCAAACAGTATACGTGGGAAGATGATGGTGGACACCTCACAATTCAATCTGATTTCGAGGGCTACGATGTGATTATAAAATGATTATCGAGAGATAAAAACATGGGGTATTAGTAATGATCCAGGATTAAAATAAAATGATTAAGCATAAATTTACTTACGGAACATACAGCTCGGTCCTACAAAAATACTACTGGTGATCACAATGTTGAGAAGTGGGTTTTAAATATCCAAATATTGACTTTTCTGCATCGAGACATGTTTAACAAGAGAATCATGATGCATCTCAGACTCAATTTTCCCCCAACCTTTAGGATGTATTTAAGGGCATGAATGTATATGTAGGCTACGTTTCTGTGTGGAACATATACAGGTTGTAAAATCTTGGAACATAAACACCATCTATCAAACATTGTTACTCAAAGCAACACCAAAACAGTTGGGTCCATATAAAACGGGCCAGTTTGCAGAATGGAGAATCATCTCTATCAGGGGTAATCATAACAAATGCCGTCACTCTGGGCAACAATCTGTGCCCACTGTCTGAACATCAGCATCTACCATAAATGCTCAAGAGGAATTTGTTCCAGTTATTGCAAGGGCGTTGGTGCGTGACTAACGGCATCATCAAACTGTTCAAACAACTGGCTGACTGCTTGTGGCTCTGGAGCTTTTGTTCACACGGCTCTGGTCACTGTGACACTGTCCCCATGTTCCCAGTTCCCATGAAATCCTCAGAGTTGATGTGTCCTCAGAATAGTTTTATTTATTTATTTTTTTGACTTAATCCAGGCCAAGAAATGCAACACAGAACAACAAGAATGATAACACAATATGATACATTTAGGTCTCACACTGAGGAGAACTTGATGGAAAAACTGAACTTACGCTGAATGGCTCGTAGCCGGGGGATGAGTGTGGGGCTGCTGGGAGGAGAGGAGCTGGTGCTGTGAAGGCTTCGCCGCTTGTCCATAGAAGGTGACGCCTGCACGGTGATCTTATGCTGGAAGTCTGCAAAACGCAACATGCACATATGGACAAGTGCACCAATGGTAACAACAAGTTTGAAACTGAGAGGGCTGCTCATGTTAACAAATACTGATTGAACTTTTCTAAGCTATGAAAACATCATACTGGAATTCTTAATCTAGGCGGCATTTCTCTTTACACATGAAAGTGAATCAAGACATCCCTACAGTGTATGCACTCACCTGACGGCAGGCTGATACGGTTTCCATCTTTCAGTTTGAGGCGGGAACGTTTGAATTTGCCTTTCCTCTTCTTCACGTTGGGCTTGTCTTTGTTGAGCTGGAAAATGAGGATGTTGAGCTCTCTCTCCAGCACGTTGATCTCCCGCTCTGCCAGCTGCTGCTCCCGACGCTTCAGCAGCTCCTCCTGAGACTTTTGCTGGAGGGCGGCCCGCGTCAGCTCCTCTTCTCTGGAACGCAGCTCCTGCAAGAACCAGGTATAATGAAACATATGTGATTGAACTGGCAGACAGACTTCTACTGTCATAGTCTCACAAATACATCAACAGACTGAAAAGTTGAGAAGATGTGACAGACCGTGTTCAGCTGCAGTGATGCACGTCCCAGGACACAGCTGAGAGGTAGGTAGCATCATTAAAAACAGGGTACACTGAATGTCTAACCAAAGTGGGGGTGATTAAATTGCAGTGTGGGTAATGTAGGTGCCAGGTTTTAAACAGAATGAAAATGCATGTCTTTAAGGCTGCTTTCAGACCTAGAGTTGTCTTGCTTTGGTCTGAATCAGGGACTAATGTTGTTACAAAGCTTTATAATTGCCCAGAGTTGGTTTGTGTTCTCACGGCAGCAATAACAAGCAAAATGTCAAAATTTCCATGCAGGAAAAATCCAGGAAGTAAACCAAACGTTGAACAAGAGTACACTTGCAAGATAAATGTGACACTTTCTAATGTCACAATAGAGGGACAACTACGCAGGTTGATTTTAGCGCTGCTCATCGTGGACTATATTGCTGTCATTGTTCATTTTAGTCAAACCATACAGTTTGAAAACGAGNAATGTCACAATAGAGGGACAACTACGCAGGTTGATTTTAGCGCTGCTCATCGTGGACTATATTGCTGTCATTGTTCATTTTAGTCAAACCATACAGTTTGAAAACGAGGCGCGGCTCCAACTAGAAAACAATGTTTTGATGCATTGGATGTGCTGAATGTGCATATTAAGGCAGTACAGGAGGAGGTGCACATTAATAATCCTCCAGGACTGTAACATGCTCATGTTTAACCCAAACAGACAAACGGGTAGAAATACATCTAATAATTCCCATATAACGAGAAAAAAGCTTTTGCAGAAAGACATCTATAAGAGGGGCATAAGTGTTCACTGTCTATTAGATAACTCCCTCTGTAACACGTTGGTTTCAGAAGATTACTGCCTGCTGTTTCAGGCCGTGTTACAAAGCTAACCAGTCTTGTCTCCTCCCATGGCTTACTCTTTCTTCACTCCCTCTATTTTCTCTTTAATTGCTCTCAGCTGAGTAATAATAATCCGTACTGGATGACTTCCATAAAGCAGCTTTACAGTCAAGCCACTTCAGCCACCCACCTAGACACAGATTACTGTGGGACGTTTACAGGAAATCTGCTGATGTAGTGGTTAATTCTACATGAAATCTTGTGAAAATGTTAGATAACATTTAAAGCTATTTATTCTTTCTTCTCTTGATTTAGAAGAAGCTTTACATACTGAGCAAAATTCAAAGGGTTTTATCATTGTGAGACAGTTCAGGATATATCTGTTAAGTTAATAATTTGTATGATTGGAAGTTACACAAGGATACATGATGAAAAGGTGGTTTAGCATAACTGATAGACTAAAACCAAGTAAAATACATAAATCTATTAAATATTATGGTCAAATTAATTCTCTTGAAACAAAAAAATAACACCTGGAGTTCTCCGTTGCTGTGTCATTCAGTTCACTCGCTGTGTGTGCTGATCCTGCTGTTTCTACAAACACTAATTAACCCCCCTCTTTAAGCCAGCGATGGGAGACTTATACAGGAAGCAGATTAAGGTCTTAACAAGGGGAAGTACGCTAAAGCACCTCAGCATTAATGACTTGTTTTGTTAAACGTGCGATTAGCTTCTCCCCTGAAAGTAACCAATTAAACCCTTTAGTCCATAAAAAGCTGTCCTGGGCGATTCTGCATGGTTAGGCCAAATCTTCATAACAGATTAGCCAACATGTATCATCACTAAAAAAAATAAAAGAGCAGAGAATAGTACAAGATGGAAAGAAGGTCTGTTACATATTCTGCAGATCAGGTTTTCAACTTCCCACACTGTGTGAGACGGAGGGGCGAGAGGAGGAAATAAACATTGATTTTATGCATTTATCCACCCGTCTGTCTTCATACTGTGTGTGTAATGTAATGTCAGTGGCTCCCTATATGGATGTTTGTGTTTCGTCACTCCGCCCCACCTTCTCTTTGGTCCTGAGCTCGTCAAACATCTCCTGGATCTCCACGCGCCAGTCGTCCTGCATGCTGTGGAAGGAGTCCTGGGGCATGGTGGCCATCACTGCCTCCTCGATGGCCGACAGCTGCTCCAGGATGCAGGAGAAGGAGGGACGCACATGGGGGTCCTGGTCCCAACACTCTGGACACACACATTGCAATGTAAAGACACATTATTCAAACTTATGTATTGTTCCTGTAATCAAATTTTACCAAACAATGTTTTTGATAACGTCAAAGACCCTGAGTGCTTAATTAGGTTCAGGTACGTTACTAGTAATACAGAAGTTGTTGTCTCGTGTTATTTAGGTATTATTTCGGCAACCAGGCATTAGATTTTGGTTGAGAAACTTAAGATATGGTTGCCATATTTAGTCACCTTGTATTTTCAGTAATTATGTTGTTAAATGTCTGCTTAATAATGAAAATGTCGCATAAAAGAATAAAAGCTTTATCACAGCAACCAAATAAAATTCATTGTACTTTGTGTATATCTATTTATTCAAGTTCATCTGGTTCTTTATCAGTTAAATCAATTTGCAGAATCATTTGTGATGTTGATGGGTTAGTCGAACTTTTCACCACACAGTCAAACAACTTTATTTGTTTCGCCATTGTCTCTAAAACAGATGCCTATTACACATGAGTAAACACACACCAATGCTCTGTAGCGGTGTCTGGTTCAGGCTCTGATTGTAACAGCAACAATCAAACATCACAAATGCAAAATATTAAAGATATATTTAGTCTGCGCTGCCTGTTTTGCTGTTTTCTCTCCCTGTTTTTGACTATGTTAAAAAGTGGTTACCACTGATGGCAACCAAAGGCCAAGAAGTGGTTGCAACACCTGTAGTTGTTGGTTGTGACATCAAATTTGGTGTAATCCCATACGTCACAGCGTTCTGGGAGCAGCAAAACAAACTACTGTCATTTTAATCTGGCAATAATTGGTCTTCTTCCATCATTCTGCAAGCAACTGTGATATAGTTTTATGCTGCAGGAGTTTGAAGGCAGCAGGGCACAGTTAAAGGAGACCTTGCTAAGTTAGAGGTGTGCAGCCTGTCTCTTGCAGCTCACTGTGGCTGCTCCTGACTCTTGCATGACTCGCTGCAAAATTTTAAACTGATCCACTATCAACAAATGACCACTGTCTTGTTTTTGCAGATGCTTTTTGATGAACAATAGGGAGTAAAAAGACCACTGAAAAACACATTACATTTCCTTTGACACCCTCATAATAAAAATTTACTTGTGTTAGTTTAATGTTTTTACTGCTGCAGCAGTAGGAAATGTTCAATCTGCATCAACAGCAACTTAATACAGTATTTTTTCTGCAAATGTCTGCCCTCGACACCCAGATCATAATACTGCAAAGATATAAATATAAAAATATCTTTCTATGATCCCTTCTTCATAAATGTCACCCTATATTTCTCCAATTAATTCCTTAGCTGTTAATAATACTGCAAATATATAAATATTTCTTTAACTAGTAGGCCATAGGCTCAATTACCATTGCGTTACTTCTTTCAAAAATAGATAGTGACTTAATAGACATTTATTTTAACAGAAAATATTTCAGATTATTACTTTAACGAAGAGAGCCTTTTTTGTGTCAGATTTTTATGGTTGAGTTTGCAATGTAATGTCGTATGTAAGAAGTAATGGTCTGACATATACACCTCCACAGTGGGTGTGTAGGTGTGTTATCCTCTGTTAATTTACCTTCCATGAGCTTGGCGAAGGGTTCGGGGCAAGTGGAGGGGATTGGTAGAGTTAACTTGTTGACTGCCACACCGTAAGCAACAGCCAGGCCGTCTATCCCACGATAAGGCACCTCCCCCGTTAACAACTCCCACAGCAAGACACCATAGCTGGTGGATGACGCACATACAAAGGCAATAAAAAGAAAGCAAAAGAGAGAGGGAGGAATGTCAAACAGAGGAATGAGTTAAAATGTCAGACAAATGAGTAAGAGTAGATATTTTATTCTTGGGGGTGTGTGTGTGTGTGTGTGTGTGTGTGTGTGTGTGTGTGTAGGGGGGCATGTTATTTGTCAGACCTCCAGACGTCACTGCCTTTGGAGAAGAGAGACGACTTGATGACCTCGGGGGCCATCCAGGAGTAGGTGCCTGCAGCTGACATTTTCGTGGTTTTGTGCCACTCCCTGGCCAAGCCGAAATCTGTGATCTTCAAGGTCTTCCTCCCGATGTCGTCATTCTCAATCTTTTCAAGTAATAAAACTGAAAAGAGAGACGGACACATTAGAGTGGGACGAAGGTAAAAGGAGGAAGATAAATAAAGATACATGAGCGAGACGGCACAACAAGTGATGAGTGATTGAATCAAAGTGAAAAGTGGAAAGACAGGATTCGGATAAAAGTGACAGACGTCAGGGGGGCAGAGGAAAAATAGGAGTGAAAGAGAAAAGGAGATACAAAGAGTGGGGGACAGAGAGAAAGACAGCCATGCAGGTGAGGAGATGATAGTTGATATTCAACAGGGCCAACCAAGGTATGCAGGTCATATATTACTGTAGTAACAGAAGGTTGACAGCCCCACAAAGCGCCTGTCCTCAGGTCCTAAAACTGTTTAACACATTAAAGACAGCCGGAACCCTCCAAACCCACCTGTAACACTAAACCTGGCCTGAGAGCCCTGCAACAGTAGAGCCACAACCTACTGACGTGCAAAGTCAGGTCAAGTTTTATTCACCCATTTAATGTAAGTGTTCCTGTTATGTGTCTAATCCTTATGGGAACAAAATTACATAATTTTATACCAGCTTAAAATTCCATTCAGTCATAATACAACAAAACTAAGTCTCGTTTAAATGCAAGAAAATGCACAAAAAGGAAAAAAAAACAAAACCGCTGAACGTTATCTATGGCTGCTCAGATCCTTTTTGCTAAATGGATCTGAGCAGATATTCACAGGCAGCAGTTGTATCACTGACTCTGATCCAAAAAATGTAACGTTTTAATATCAAACAGGGACAGTTTAAGATTACGTTTATATCTACTGTGTTTGTGCATGTTTTCCTTTACAAAGCAAAATAAAATGGATATATGTTGAATGACTACTGACATCCAGATAAAGTAGTCGAGTAATCATATGCCATCCCAACAAACTACTAAATAAATATAATACTAATATGTGGAACTATGGACTCAAATATAGTTGTAAAATGTAGGGCTGCAACTAACAACTAAATTATCACCTAGAACAGCTCTGGAACCACATGTGGCTCTATAGCCCCTCTCCAGTGGCTCCTTGTGGCTTTGACACAAATGAATACTGGTTATTTTTTTTATCATTTTATTATTTATATATCAGTGTTGTAGGTCTACAGAAATTCTTACATTCTTCAATTTAACATTTCAGCTACTAAAATGTGCCTAATACATCTACTGCCTGGTACCTTTTCCTTGAAATTTTGCCGAACCTCGATAGCAGTGGCTAGTGTTGAGCCTTCCTCGCTGGTTAGCTACGGATGCCAAATCCAAAAAAGTAAAAGTTTTGGAATAAAATAGAGAATTTAATAGTATGTGAAAATATTTGTTTGCTTTCACTTCCAGCTCTGCAAAGATAAAGTACCAAATAATCATAAATAGTGCCCTGCAGAGGAGCCACCTTGTGGTAAAACATGAATAAATGCTCGTTTAGACTATCTGTAAAGGCCAATTTGGACTTAATAGGCTGTTTTACCTGTATCAAAAGCCTCAAATATGTATTGAGGCTCCACATAGATTATTTGTTTTTAATTATATTTGGTCAAAAATGGCTCGATAGTTAAGGTTGCCGACCCCTGACCTAGAACAATAGATTAATTGTTAAAAAAGTAAAGAAAAAAAGTAAAACATAGCCCAAGATAAAAAAAAAAGTCTTCTTTTGTCTGACCAGTCAAACAACTTATAGAAACTTAGTTTAAAATAATATATGATAAAATAAAAATGGAGCACAACAAATCCTTAAAACTGAGAAGCTAAATTTAAGGATTTTTTTTGTTGTTGTTGTTGTTTTTGCTTAAAGTAAAAAAAGAAACTGATATCTAAACAGCTGACGATTAATTTTCCATTGATCAACTAATCAAATGCTTCAGCTGTAATATGGACATTACGCAAATGTAACCAAGGGAAACTTAATACTAAACATACTAAAATGTAAGCGTTAACACTTACTCCCTACATGATTAATACACACAGGATTCAACAAGACGCTGAGAGCACTTTGGCTTTTTGAACATATACCACCCACAACCAGGTGAGGACTTCAGAGGAGCAACATTTTTCTCCCCTCAAATGTTTCCTTTCAGCAGGAATAACCCTTCTCCCTGTGCGCTGATACACCAACTGCCAAATATTCCTGTTATCCCTTTGACAACCAGACGCAGCCTTTTCCATGAAGTGGTGCATCAACAGCCAAAACAGACTCTTTGATCCTTTTGATCCTCTTGGTATTATTTTCAACATTTGTTTTTGCCTCTGCCAAGATCTCCTCACATTACAAACTGTCCCATTTCATTATTTACATGTCGTCCTAACACTGCGGGTCAATTTGAACATGTCCTATCAGCTGTGTTGGTTCTACAGAACGCCAAAGCCGGCACAGAAACTAAAACGTGAGAGTTTAAATGTCCCTTCAGGTGTTTTGAACAGAGGCACTTAGGTGTTAAATCAAACACTTGAGTGTAATGCCGACACATACAATCTGTGGTAATATTCCCATGGGAAAAAGGGTGCAATGATAAAGATGCATAGTGGAAGTGTTGAAAAACACATCCACGGGTTTGAGTTTCTTCACTTACTGTATCATAATGTACACCCAAAAAAGTTACTCAGTTTAAAAGCTATTTGTTAACAGCTTTCAATAGAAGCTCTAATGCGTGTGTGCAAGTATTACTTGAATGAATTAGCTGCACTTTGTGCTGCATTATCACTCACTGACCTTGGACTTACTCCTCCACAGCAGCACAAAAGTAAACCTGCCAAAACACACACACACAAACCTTTCTACCTCCAGACACCCAGTTAGTATGATTTAACCTCAGTAACCATACTGATCTTCAATCCTAGTTAAGAATACAATGTGATAAATTACATGACAAATGTTTCAAAAGACTGAACAGATCTACTAAAGGGTGTAGGAGGGGTTGTAAGGAGGATAGCTGTTGACTTCGAGAACAGATAGTGTGGTCAGAAATTGGCTTAGAGAGTCTGAGACAGATGGATAAGTCTTAACAGACTCCACACTGAAAATCTGTGTATGAGGAAAACTGGAACAAACATATTTCCTTATGTAGTGCTGTGCTCACTCCTATAACTGGCTATAAATTGCACCTTTTTCAAACAACTATGAACATGTATACCTCACTGTGAGCCTGTTTACACCTGGTATTAACCTGGGTTTTGGTAATCCAATCATGACTGTAAATGCAAGTGTAAACAACCACCAAGGCGCGTTGTGACCCGATCCGTCAAACCACTTGCAAAGGTGGTATGGATCCTTTCAACCACGTATCTTTTGTAGTGTAATTGCTAATGCCTTGCGTTGCATCCCTGACAAGGCCTACGTCATCATGCAGGACATGGTGGTTGATTATAAGTTACCTGTTTTATGATGTCTGAGACAAAGTGTTGCATGACCGTCTAGTGTTTATCCCTATGGAGGAATAAATGTTGAATACTACTGAGAGCGATATCTCCAGCTGTGCAGACACAACCGCAACTGTGACTAGTGAGCTTGCTAGCCAGCCGCTAGCCATACGATGGATGTTATAACTGTGCGCAGGACCTTTTGACCTTCTAGCATAAGAGGCACAGGCAGTGACAAAATCTGAACATAAGTGATCAGCTGGAGATGCATAACAGACACGAGTGTGATGAATGGAAATGTGTCTAGGCTGTCCGCTTGTGTTCAGATCACCAATACGCATGTTAATACCAGGCGTAAACTGTCTCTGTGTGGTTCCTTCTCCTGTGGAAGTTAATAAGGCTTTAACTCCACACCTAAACTTTTAAATGAATTTATGCAATCGCATATTCTGAGGCTAATATACAATCGTTAGAAGTCATTTTAAAGCAAAACTGCATTTACTGGTTCCAGCCTCTAAATTATAAGCCTTTGCTGTTTGTCTTTGTTTTATGTGACAATAAACTAAACATATTTAGGCGTATTAGAGGATCAGTGTGTAAGATTTAGTAGCATGTAGAGGTGAGGTTGCAGGACTAAAACTTCTTCCATGTTACAAACATGTAGGAGAACTACTGTGACTAACACGATAATGTGAATGGCCTCATTTAGAGCAAGTGTTTGATTTGTTCATTCTGGGCTACTGTAGAATAACATGGCAGACTACGTGGAAGAGGATCCCCTCCATATGTAGTTATAAATGACTCAGTCATTCTTGTTTTCAGGCAGATCATTGCCAATAGACGCCCCTAATTCCTACACACTGGACACACACACACACACACTGGGTGTTGGCTGATGACTTCAATTTGGGTTTAGGAACTTGTAACAGACATTTTTTACTATTCTCTTGCATTTTATAGACAGAACAATCAATTACATATTAACAGATAATGAAAATTATTACTTGCAGCCCAAGATGCAACATAACACAAGCTGCAATACTGCACACAGCTAATACCATATAACGTCTATTTAATACGAACTTTTCTACATCCACAGCACAGCTGCATCTCAGATATATAAAAACATATTTACTTGCATTAGAATAAAATCCGAGCTTGCCAAATAGGACTATATGTACAAATCTACAGCATGCTGTTTGACAGTTAAAATAATGTTCTGCGGTGTAAACATAAATGTGAAAAACAAACTAAACACCGGCACTCACAGATACATTTTCATTATTTAATGTGGGCAAAACAAAGAAAAATGAACATGATTCCATTCCTATCGCATAAATTGCCTTTCCAGCTTGTATTTATCATGCTGATGATGGCTTTGTAGCTCAGACGCATTTGTTTTGTTTGTTTTACTCACATAAAATAAGAAAAATTATCTATGAGTGCCGGAGTTGTTTGAGTTGATCCTCACCACAACTGTTTACCTGACACATTGTTTAAGCTCTGGAGCTGTGCGTGCTGCTATATTTCACCATAAACATCAAAGGTACAAATAAAATGTGTCCCTGAATGTGCGGTTCTTTATCATATTTCATCAAGTCTGCATTAGTTTATGCATCACCTATAGCACTTAGACTAAAACCACCAAG